CAGTGCTCTGCGATTCCCAAGGAAAGATGCAGCAGGACTGTGAATCAGCGGCCAGCTGAGCGCTGCGTTTGTCACTGCTCTGCAGGGCACTGAGCCTTCTTCCTTGGCAGAAAGGACAGAAGGCAGATCCCTGCTGCAAGTGGACAGCTCCTGCGGCTGGAGGTAGAGGAAAGTTCTCCTCAAACCTTCCTGGGACTGCTACGTTGAGACGATTAATTCATTTCTCTTTGGTTTTTATTTTACAGGGCAATAGCAGTAATGAGACAAAGTATTTTGCAGATTGAGTTATGACACCCTTGTGTTAGCTAGCTAGTAGACCCCTGCTGACTTTAATTTGAGCAGCATCAGGTTTTAAATCTAAACAACTTTGTGAGGTTCTATTTTGAAATATCTTAATTACATCTACTATTTTCCTTTACTTTTCTTGAACCAATCTAAAGCACTGTGAAAATACTTCACTTTCAAAGAATCATCGAAAAATAACGCTAGGTACAATCTTGAAAAATATAGACCATTTTGTGTTGTACAAGAAACTTGTTTGGAAGAAAGTTAAACTTGAAATTATCCTAATGCTAACAAGGTACATCACTTTATGCTGTTAGTACTCGCATCTGCTAAAAAGGCTGGTTATTGCCCCTCTTCTTCGTTTGGACTGAAGTTCATTGCGTTGCTGGAATGTGACTGTTGGTTATGTTAATTGCCATTAACACAAAATATTAACTTTAAACAACAAAGGCTAAGGTGTATCTAGAAGTAACAGATTGCCAAAAGTGACTTACAGAAGTTACTCAAATTGTACTAAATGCTACTAACCCTGGCCCAATGTCATCTCACCTTCCTAGACTATAATTGACAGTACCAGAACTATTTTTTCTTAAAACAAGTAAATAATAGTTCTAATTCTCTTACCTTTAATTTTACATGTGTTCCTTAATGATTGTTTTTTAGTCTTTGCGTTGAGGGTTATGGTGAGTTGAAGCCCCCCACGAATGCAAATAGGCTTGTCTGTTTGCCAAACCAAGTATGTTTTGATTCTGAAATAGCATCATGGGACACTAAGGGAATTGTGTTTTCCAAAAGGCTTCCTTCTTGTATTTTACTTCCTGTGTTGCATTGTGATTTCTTTTGGGTGAGAGGTGAAGGGTGCCATGGGTGTGGTCTGCCGTGGGATGTGGAGACTGCCTGAGTGACATCCCAGAGAGGAAAACAGTCATGAAGCAACCAAAATCAAGTTCTCCTCCAGAATCATAGTGTTATTTCAAAACTGGAATATTTCAGTCTGGGCATCTGAAAGCTTTTTTGATGGGAAGGAATTCCATGGAAAGAAGAAAACTTTTGCATAAAATATTCACTTAGTCAAATTAAATGGGAATTCCAATGGAAAAAAAAGTTTCTGTCATACATTTTTGACCAACCTCACTCTGTCTATTTAGAGCTGCTCTACGTATCTTTACAGTTGCATATCTCCATGACTCAATGGGAAACTCATTCAAATAGTAGACTCATCAAATCAAAAAGGCTTATCCCTTCTCTCTTCCTTTTTTACTTTAAACCAGCGTCAATCCTTGGTTTAATTATAACTGGTCTAACCAAACCCTCTTTTGCTGTGATCTCAGAAAGAGAGGTTTATCTTTCTTTCAGACAGAGGTGAAAGAGCTTCGTGGTGTAAGGATTGCTTTTGCGTACTGTGCACCTAGCCCAAGATTTTGCACCAGTAAAACTGATTCCACACAGCACTTTTACTTGGGCGATGTGAGAAACTGGCTGAAAATCACCATTATGCTTTTTGGTTTGGTTCTTGAGCATTACCTTAATTTTCTGAGTAGATCTCTTGTTGCATCTAAGAATAAAATTTCTATGCAGGAGGTAAAACTTCCCCTCTGATTTCTATGGTTTAACTGGCATATCTCCAATGACTTCACAGCAATTATTCTATATTACACCAGTGCAGATGTGTCTTGACGTTATTGGAGGCATTTAAAGGGAGCTGCCAAATGCTTTTATTAAAGCAAAAACTGGAAAAATGTTTCTTAAAACCCTGGTATTGGGCAGTGAAAACCACCTTTGCACTGCAGAACAGGTGTGCCCCATGGCTTGCTGTGAAGTCTGGTTCTCTGATCTGCTCTCCAGATCAAGGGACATAGTAGGAGCATGCTGTAGTTCACGTCCAACATATGCAAGGTTTCCTTTCAGTGGAAACTAAGGTGGTGAAGGGATTATGTGATCCATGACCACTGTAGTTCTGTGTGGTAATTCCCATTAGTAGATCATTGCTGGTATAAAAGGATGTTCTTCATTGCAGAACAGAGCTGCAGCCAGTCTCACTAGCTAGAATGCTCTACCTGAAGTTAATTGCACTTGACACCTGAGAAGCAGTTCAGTTCTGGTACCCAGTTCAGAATCTCCTCTGTTAGATAACCTGACAAGGGGTGATGGCTGTGCTGTAACTGGAAGACTTGCCATCTGGTATCTTCCAAGGTGTGCGGGAGCTTTAGAGATGTTTAGGGCCTCCCTGCTGTTGCATTGTGATTTGGGAAATTATCTGTATCTCGTTTCAATTTACAAAACCATCAGGGGACTGATGAGGGCAGTACTGCTCGTGGGAGTATTCCTGTTTCCCAGCTCCATATTTGGGCAAATTGAAACATTTTCTTTGGCTGTTTCTCAGCGACAGTGCTGAAAAGGCAGGTGACAATCAGCAGTAGTTTTAGCAAGAGGAGTATTGAGTCCCTTTAGGATGCACTATCTACTGACTGATAAAGCGCCCTTGTCCATTCATCAATCATTCTGTCACCCTTGTTATCTGTTTCATCCTCATGTCCTACAGATTTTTTTTTTCATTCACCAGGAAACATGCACACAGCTCTGAACTCCTGTTCTGGTAACATTAGTTCCAGCTCTACCACATTCATTCTTTGCAAGCCAGGTAGAGAGAGCGAGTGCCTAAGTTTGCCATGCTTTTATATGGCTCTGGCACTTCCTGGTTCTCGGTTTGTTGTAAGTCAAAAGATTATTATGCAGGTTTCAGTGATTAAATGATGCCTTTTGCTTTCCGGAACAAATCTCCATATTTTGACTGAATATCAGTTGTTTCAAAAGGCAAACTGAACTCCTGAAGTTATTTATTTATTATTAGCAGCGTATCTCTGAGAGCTGGACTTTGCTGGAAAAGCCTGCAGGATAATATTAAACATGACAGTGCTGGTAGAAGCAATGAACCAGGTAGGCTTGGGATGAGGAAGCGGAGGGGAATCATCAGCCAAAAAAATTTTTAAAAAAGCCCAAACTGCAATTATCTTCAATTTCTAAACCACTGAGTTGCTGGTATTTTCTTACAGGAGACTGAGAATCATTTCATGCTTCATATTCCACTTTTTGTGCGCAGGAGTAGAAGTGTTCTGCTTTGTCTACTAGCCCTTTCCTACTTTCCTTGAAGTATCATCTGCTCAGCTCATGATGAGCTGCTAAGCAGTGCTGTGATCGTTGTCAGTGCTGGAGTTCTGTGCTTAGTGGTCTCAAGGGTTCCTGGAAGACTCCAAAAGAACTGGAAGAGGTGAAGGGAATAGTACGGGCACTGGGATTCAGAGAGGACTGAGGAGGAGAGCGTAGCAAGCAACAAGAACAAAAATGTTGACTAGGCAAAGACTATCTAAAGCCTCATATTTGGACATAAGGTGCTTGAATTACAAATGAGAAGGATACTTCTTACAGTGATTGCAGCAATATGTCTATTTTTTAACTCGGAACATGGTGTACTGTAAATGCAGGTTTATGGTACGGTCCCAGATTCACGGGTGTGCATTTATCCCCCAGGTTCTGATTCTTAGAATTTGATCAATATTCACAAGTTTAGGGTATTCTTCCAGTGAGGAGGAGTCACAAGGTATTCCCAGGGCTTTCTGTTGTTCTTCAACTGTCCCTGCATTATAAAATATCATGTATAGCCACTTCCTTTCCTGAGTACCCTCTTTTGGATGCAACCCGTGCTTCCTATAGTGAATCTTCATTCCCCGCCCTTGAAGCCTCCAGGTGGTGGGGCTTTGTCAGCTAGTCCCCTTCAGCAGTATGTACAGAGAAAGGAAGGAATGGCCTTTAGAGAAGCTGGGAGATTCCAGTGACAGCAAGGGAATCCTAGAGACACTCTATGATCCTTTGTTTGCCCATGATGCCAAGGTGGAGGCTTCTTAAGGGACAGAAAGTCCAAGGGCTCAAATGAGAGCAGAAATATACTTATGGCCCTGTGCTGTGAGAAGCCTTTTAGGGCAGTGATCTCAAAAAAGGTGCTGGAGCAGGTGAAAGCTGGAGAAGTGAAGGAATTTAATAGAGAAGCACAGAATGCTTTTTAGGAAGAAAATCTAAATAAGGAAGCAAAAATGGAGATGAAATGACTTACAGCATTGTAAGTTTTAAAGATAGATTTCGTTCTGAATTGGAGACTGTGACTCCCACGTTCATTACTGGCTGAGTAAATGTCTGTAAATAGTGTTTTTTCTGATGAACTGTAGAAAACATCTTCTGGAAGAGGAGATAAAAATGAAGCAGTCTGCTCTTTCTGCTCAGTGGAGTACATGCATATATAATGTGTGTGTGCATGCAGCTTCATATACATATTATATCTACTGTAACATCAGTCTGTTAATGTATTCCAGACCTAATATCATTCCCAGCCAACTGAAATGCTGAGCTGGCATCCTGGGAGGTAATTACTTTATTTTAATAGTCACAGAAGCATGGCACTGGAAGATGGGAAGGACCAATTAGTCTTCTTTCAGCTCTTTTCCCTCTGTGATACTGTTCCTTACCTAGGCTCATAAACATTTCTTTCGTGTCCTCTGTTTCTATTGAAGCATTTTCCCTTGCCAGGAAAGTTTCCTGGAGCCCATCTTGCAGGTAACAGAAATTTTGCCTCAATTCCTTTTTTTTATTTTTTCCTTTGGATGTTTTCTCCCCTAGTCCATCCCTAGTTGATGACTTTTTTTCCCCCACAGTTTTCCCAGAGAGAAGTTTGAAGCCTGATAACAGTAGAGCTGTGGCTGAGCGCTGGCTCCATTTCTGGAAATAGGCAACATCAGGAACCACGAGAACTACCCAGTAAATAGTGCTCCAGGTAATATTTGGGCTGTTGGCAGTTGGTTTCTCTGTGTACATCTCAGAGGCTCGCATCAGTGGGTCAGTTGTAATTTTGGAGGCTTCTTTGAAGGAGCTTTAGAATTGTCATCTCAGCAAAGTATATTTAAGTGTGGAAATAAAGGCAAGAGCTATTTTGAATGCATCTACAGCATTGAACTCTGCATAATGATGCTGTGAGGGAGCCACTTATAAAAAAATTAGCGTATGCAATAGCCTCCTCCTATGTGTTTCTCTTCTGTGTTACCCTATTTTAGACCATTAGAAAGCAACAAGGCTGGTGGAGTAGCATCAGGGTACTAGAGAGACAGTAGGCTAGAAAACAGGCTCCTTTTCCCCTTTCCACCAAAACAGGGAGTATTGCTTTATTACTTTATTTACTTGATTACATTATTTACTGTTGGAGCATTCCTTGGGATAGCAAAGAACACAAATTCATTTGCATTTTGCAGCTACTGAATTCAGATAAGCCTTACAATTGTTGCAAAAATCCATTTCTAAAAGAAGTGAACAGTGAGTGCTGTGTGATGACGCTGTACATTTTGGCTTGCAAAAATCAGATGTGGAGAGAACTGGTAGCTATACTACAAATTAATGGGGGCCATTCCAATTACCCGGCAACAAAAAAGCAGAACAAAACAGGCTTTTTGGGTTTTATCTTGAGGTACCATATTTCCACATAATTTGTCAAGATACAACTGCAGAAATAGTTGCTACTTCTCTTATTTGTTTCTATATTCATGTGGATACAGACTCAAAAGAGATGTACTTATAGTACTGTTGAATACTTTACTCTTCCTTGAGTCTCAGATGATACAGAGTCGCCTAACCTGCTAGAGTTCTTCCAAACTGTACAAAAACATACACTTTTTTTCCCCGGTTAATTAAATGCAACCTGCTATGCAGGAAACCTGTGGCTGGTCAGGCAACTTAAAGGCCCACTGCTTCTCTGACCTGAATCCTGTTCGCATCCTGAATCACTTCTTTTCCTGAGTTAAGCATGGTTCTGATACAGCAACTTTTCTTCCAAAAACAGGAAACTGAAAGTCCATATTAAATCAGAATAAAACTTTGCGCTTTTCTTGAACTGTTGACTGAAAGACCTTTCAAAGGTGAATATTGCCACAATGAGGAGTGTCTGCATGCATCTTCTTCCTCAAGGGGAGACCTCTGTCTGGGCCTGTGGAGACACTTTAACATTCCGTGTCGGTGCTGGTGTAGCTAGAACTCCTTCCAGCGCATAAATACTGAAGTAGTCTCTCGTATCCTTAGGCTGGTAAACAGTCTCTGGGACAGAAGGCGCAGTAGATACGAAGTAGAATAAGGTGATATGCCTGAGCATTTGTGCAAGGAACTGTGTGGCATCTCCCATAAACTGAAATGTCCCGTTCATGCCAGGGGACACATGCAGTTTGGTAAAGCAAAAAGGAACCATAGGCTTGAGTTCAGGGATTTTAAGAACTGCTGAAGCTTGAGATATATGGTTTTGTTTCAGTCACAAGACTGGGCAGCTACAACAGGCACTGCGTCCTCTTGGTGAAAAAATAGCAACCTGTTCTAGTGAAGGAGGATCATTTGAACTAAAAATTCTGGGTTGCGTTCTTTCCCTGCTCATACAGATACAGTGAAGATGGAGTTATTTCCAGCTGACTTTAGAGGAAGTCAGAATAGCACCTAGCCCTCTCAGTAAGGCTGCTGGTACTCTAAGTGATTATTTTCAGAATTCATCAGCCTTGACAGAGTCCCATTAGAAAGCAAAACATGTCTTTGTCAGCCATTGAATTATCGGAATGAAGGAGTTCTGCTTGCAAAGCACGAGTCATTCCAGAGCTTGGCTCCTTTGGCAGTATGCTTGTTTGGCATACCCCTGCAGTCAGCTTGGAGGGGAAGAGCAAAACCGCTGTGCCTTGTCAAGCTGCAGCTCCTCTGTCCCTCTAAAGCCTCTGCTGATGGAGGCAGATATTTCAGCAGTCAAAGAGCCAGCAACACTCATGGCCATTTATTTGTCTTTAAGCAAGACAGTGCAGCAATATGTCAACACTTGCAGCAAAAGACAGGAGGGCTATTGCCTTAAGCAGGCATTAATAGATGCAACAGGCACCTTCCTTGGGTGACATCTCTCCCAGTTAATGGCAGCACCGCTGCTATCCTGTATTGTGTAGGCTGCTATTCACTTCAAACTCTGCTGGATGCAAGCCTGAAATGTGCCTTCTTTGGTGCAGAGGGCTCTTGTGCCCTAACGTAGTTTTGGCCCATGAGTTCTCCTGCCTGGACTTGTGAGCAGGTGAGCGTGTGTGTGAGAGATGGACTATGATGTGAGCTGACTGGGGCAGCAGTCTGGCCCTATCACGAATGTTCATGATGATGCCGGTCCTTGTCCTTGGACACTACCAGGACAGCATGTGTGCTAGCCATTAACTTACTAGATGTCAGAGTCAAAGTGAGCTGACAGATACATAAGCAGATGTCTTCACGCTGCAAAGTCATTCTCTCCTCTTCCATTACTCATTGCAGTTCTTAGAGCTACAGTTTTCTGTCTGTCTTCATCTCTGAAGAACCTTGTTTTAGTGCAAGTTACAGCACACTTCTTAAAGAGCTGGCTTGAAAAGCAAATTCAGATGGATGGTTTTACTGGGTAACAGCGTTTTCCTCAGAAAAACAGCATTTCTTTGGAGTGTAATTTCTGATACACTTCTCAGTGAGAAAGGCTTGAAAGAGTGTTGATGTTCTTTAAATGAAATGCTTTACCATTTTGAAAAACAAATAATTCAGTAGTTTAGAATACTGGTTTTTCCAGGTCTCACTCTTGAGCTGAAGGGGACTGTGCTTGTCCTCCTGCTTGGGGAAGGTAAAGACCCACTTCCCTTTCTCCTTACCCTTCTGTTCTGTGAGAACTTAAAAGTGAACAAAAGATGCTCTTTTCTTTCCAACAGCGCTCATAAAAACCTTTCTCTACTGGCAGCTGGAGAATGGGGAACGGTATTGTTCCTTCTTGCAGACAGGAGGTGAATGCAGATCTGTAATGGCATCACCTGATTGTTACCAGTTCCTTCACAGACAAACACAGGGTACAAGACATGAGAAAAGGAACAAGTAATGAAACCGGTAATGAAAACAAGGCTCCAGAGCCCCTCATGTAATTGGAAGTGCAACAGGAGAGATACACCTTAGACCTAAAATGACCTACCTAATTTCTTGCCTGCAGAATATTCTTATTTCTTGCTGCAATATTCCTTCATTTTGTAATGTATTTGCTTCTTTTTAAATTTAAAATAGCTACTTCAGCACTTTCCCTCTTTAAATGCTGTGTTTAATGCCAGCAGCCCTGTCTTCACTGACAGTTCTTGTAATAAGCAGTACTTTTGGAACATGCCAAAAGAGGGAGTGAATGCTGACAGAGAAGCAGTTCCCTTTCAGACTTCTCTGGTGCAAATGTTAGCTGGCCTAAGAAACTGGACTACTTGGAAGGAATCTCTTTTCTGTTCTACTATACTTGCTAAAATAACTCTGAAACTTATTGCCAGCTTTTTCTTGTTTAGCAGAGATCCCTATTTGAACTGCTTATATCCCTTTCCAAATTGCCCTGTGAGAGAGATCATTGTCTTGTTATTGGATGTTTACTGCTTGGTTGTGATTGCAGACTACTTATGGTGAGGCAGGATGGATGGGGGAAACACTGCATGTAAATGGCTTTGCAAATTGCTATTGCTCCACATTTTTTCTCCTCAGTGGTATTCAAGAGGCATTTTAGACCACTGAGTGTGGAGTAGAACCATCTGCATCTCTTCTCATTAAGATGATTAGTTCAAGGACAGATGCTTCAATGCTTACCTGTCAAAAGCGAGTGGGTTTTGTGAGACTGGGTAGACAGGTGAGCTCTGGATAGCCAAAATACTTCAGTAGCCCAATTAAAAACATCAGTTTTCCTCCAAGACCTCTGAGGAAACAAGACCTTGAAAAGTTATTTTTAGTGGCCTGTCTCACTCTCAGCTATGGGAAATGGGGTTCAGTTCTGGGAGTCTGTCTGAGGTACACACGAGACACCTGTGGCAGGGCAGGGGTGTTGGTAGGTAGAGTGTGCCGTTAAGGCAAACTTGTAAAGCTTTGCCGAGGCACTTTCCCCATGCAGTTTTGGACTCCACCTGTGCTTATTCTGGAATAATAATGGATTTTTTTGTTTTCCTCCGGTATGACAAACAGAAAATGAAAGAGAGAGGAAAAAACTATTAACATATTCCCTTCTTCTCTTTCTGTAGTCAGAGTTATTACGTGAATGTGATCCTTATTCACAAACCACTGTTGACTCCCTATGCTGCACTTTTTAAGGCAATTTACTACTTTCAAAAAAAAAAAATTCACTTCAGCTATGAGCACATTTACAAATGAGGCCCTGACAGTGGGAATGCTTAGTTTGTAAATCCCAAGAGGGCTGAGTCACCAAAAATCTGAACATCTCAGGGCTATTAAAATGTAGGCTTATTGCTTTCAAACTTAAGCGCTGATGAGGAGGAACCAGGAGGAACTTGGGCCCTAAGTTTTCCTTGTGACTCTCGCACAGATCTCTTCAGGGGAAGGTGCAGTGTAGAGGTAAGCAACGCTCAGAGCAAACGGCGTTTGAGTTCTAGCACTGACTGAGTAATCTGCGATGAGTTTCTTCACTTTAAATTTGCTTTTTGTTCTTTGTCTTCTCTTGCTCGAACACCAGCTCGAGAAAAAGACTCCTCTTCCTTCCTCTGTGTTTCTGTACTGCTTATATTTAACAAAGCCTACTGAGATGAATCTATGTTTGCCACCGCTTTGACAATAAGCGAGAAGGAAGTCTTAAGTGCAGCAGATGTTAACATTAAGTCTAGAATGATGTTAATTGCATTTTTAATCCAAATTTTTGTTTCCTTGCATCAGAAGATAACTGCTCATTTGAAAATTTCCATTTGCACTCCATTTGCATACCCCTAGCCTGATGGCATACCTGGCCTTAGAAAGTTATTCTTAAATTGCAGAAGTGGAAAAAGATGGACACAAGTGCATTAGTTTCACTGTCTCTTTAAACCTTTGAATGAAGACTAGGTGCTTTCCTGGAGGACCTGCGGTAGCCAGGCGTGAGTTACAGGGCCTGATACAGTGCTAACAAGATGGTGTTGCTGGGACTGCTTCCCAGGCAAGCAGAAGAGCAACTGTTAACGGCCTTTGCTCTGGTCTGTTTAGACCAATGCAGAGGTAGGTCAGTCAGAAGCGAGAGGTAATGTAATTTAACACAGAATTTCAGTCTGTACTTCAGTGGCCTCTGTCACTCTTGCATGGGACATGTGGAAGCCCAACTAGCAATGAGTGCTGTTTCTGTCAAAGACCCTATAGCTGAGAGACAGATAACGTTAAAAGCTCTGACAAAAGAGGCATTGTATTAATCGGTAACAGGGATCTGTCTTATTGCCTCTCCTTGTACTAGAGTTCTGGCAGAGCTTGACTCTTGCTCATCATTAATTTCACTTGTTCAAACTGAAAGGTTAGTGCTCTCCTAGGGAGAGCACCTTTTCACCTGCAGTTATTTTGTGACACGTGGGCCCTCACATATTCCAAATCAACCAGAATTAGACCTGTTAAGATCTCTATTTAAGAAGGACACATACTCTTCTGATCCTCTGTTTGTGCTCATTGACTTTGCTGGCTATTTTTACCTGGGTTAAAATCTGTAGGATTTACTCCAATAGTAATTCTGTGTGATTAGTTCAACAAGTAATAAAAACAAAAAAACTAGCTGTTTATTCAGAGTGTAAAGAACCACAAGGACTTGAGTTTATACTGATCATATAGTTCTGCTCATTAATTAGAAACCCCTGTAAGCCAGATAAAATTATCATTACAAACTAGTGAAGAAAGTCACTGTTGGCCAAGGTCACACACTAGTGAGTGGAAGGGATGAGAAAAGAACGTGGAAGTCCTACGTCAGAGTCCTTGCTCTACCCACAAGATCACATTGCGTTCTGTCAGAGCTGTCTTTAACCAGGATCATACTGCAATAGGTTTTCTTAAGTGCTCCTGCAGACAGTCAGTCTCACCACATTGTGATCTGCAGTATATATTCAATATATATTTATACCTATTTTCCTGGAGTAGTCTGGAGCAGAGCTCAACAGCCAAAACGTAGAACTGAATTAATAAAGTACCCTCACTGCAATTCCTCCCCCGGATCTCAATACTTGGATCCAGTAGCCCACACTCTTCTCTTCTGTGAAGTGTAAGTGACTCCTTGCTCATAAGTAGCCACAACTTCTATGTTATGAAAGAGCATCAGTCTATTTCAGATCATACATTCAAGGCTTCTTGGAAGAAAAAGGCTAGAAGCAGCTTAGCAAGAAGGCAGGGAGGCCCTTTTTGAACAGGCAAAGTGTGCCCACCACTGGTAGATCTATCAGTGAGGACTACATCTCCTGATGAGTGCTGTTGCTTGACACTCAACCATGCTGAGTTTCTTTTTACTCTGTAAGTCTGCAGCAGAGTCTCAGGAATGGCCAGAGAGCAATTTTGGAGACTCCCTGCAATGCTCAGCTTTTTAAAGCTCTTCTAAGTGCACTTGTGTGAGCTGCATGAAGACAGGGAGGATACAGAGCGCTGCCCTACAGTGGCGTAGAGAAGCTTCCAAAATGTTTTGAGCATACCGGCCATAAAATAGGATTACGCATAGGCGATCTGGGAGGACGTAGGTGCCTTTTGGAAGCATGTGGTGTCTGTGACATGTTGGAAGATGATGAGACAGATGAAAGCCTCCAAGAAAAGAGAGAGGCTGAGAAGTGGAGTTACAGGTGCAGTCTTTCACTTGAAACTAAATGTAGGTATAAAATTGCAGTCATTGTAAGTTGCGCTCGCCAGCATATTGATGTGTGCTGTACACGCTTCACAAATTGATTTATGGAGAATTCTGCCACAGCCTCTTTTATGATGAGTCATAATGGTAAAAGTGTTGTCAAATTATGAATGCAGCTGAGAAAATTGTGGGCTACTAAAGAGTTTGCTGTAAATCTATCCAGTGTATTCTTTGTTTGAGTTATATTTATACCTCCCCTTCATTTTGAAGATATATTGAAACTCCATCCCAGGACAACATTCTTTGGAGAGTCAATAGAGCAGCAGATTAAACGCAACAAACAAAACCAAATAAATTTGAAGACCTTAATGTTTTATTTGAATATCAGTAGTTTCCTCTTGCTTTTGACCTTCCATATTTGCTTATTCTATTGAGACAATCCTGATATTAAAGTAATATGCTGTATTTTGCCATTTTATAATTACTTCTTAAGTTTACTGACTCTAAGATAGATGCTACTAAGCTAAGGTCCATTAAGCCTTATTGATTGATAAAAATCCATATTATACTGCTGTTCACTAGTGATTATAGTCATGGGACACAGGATGAACGTACACACTAGCTTGCTGCCTGCCAAGCAGTGAATGATCTTCATATGCTTCTTTGAAACTATTCCCAACAAGTGCCAACTCCATTAAGTTCCTCAGAACAGAGTCTGCCTCTGGGAGCTACTCTTAGTTAAGATACTGTCACTTGTGCAGTGATGACGATTGTGTGACAGGACTCTGTTAATATTACGCCGGGATTATCTCCACTATGGTTGTGTGTTCTTATGTATCAGTTTATAATCTGTTTATTTAGTAGCCTTGTAGCAGCATAGTTGCAAGTAAGCGAGCTTTGGGGAAAGTTATATTGCCAACTCAGCATGTTAAGGATTGTAAGCACCCTGAGCCCTGGTTGTTAGTACAAATTTCTATTATCTCAGCAGTTCAGCACGTAACAGCTGCCTCTAGAAAAGGCTTTGTATCCCAATACTAAACCTGTGTTTTACATCTACAGAGGAAAAAAATATAAATGCGTATTTGATTAGCTGTTAGGGAGCAAGTTACTCTTTTATAGGAGACTGAGAATGTACTTGTTGCACCCAATTCTACATTTCACCTTTACTTTGTTTTTTCCCTAGCTCAAGTGTGCATGCTCCATTGCTGTTTAGCATAGATTTTCCTTGCTGTACTTCCGGTCTGCTCCTTTGCAGTGGCTATTTGGGTAGCACTGAGACGTTCCATCTGTGGGGCAACGATATGTGTAATCATCTGTCTTTATCCTTTCAAGTCTAACATCCAAGGTATCTCATTTCTGAATGAAAAACATCTGTCTTTTATGAACAGCTGCTTGCCTGCGGGAGGCTGACCTGAGAGCAGGTCATTGCACGACATGAAGTAGTGCTCCCGCCTGTAGGGCTGCGGCTGGTGCCGAGTGCCATCTGCAGCAGTTACTGGTGCACACGAGCGGGGAGCGCAGCCGCAGCCGATGAGAGCTGCAGCGTGTGCTCAGAGCCTCCCATGCCCTCTGCTCAACGGCCTCCGTGCCAGAGGAGTCTCTGCAAGTGCTTCTGCTTTCAGAGTGGCTGAGGATCTTAAACCACACTGCAAAGAAGCATTTTCCCTGTACAGGGAATCATCTCCCTTTTTAACCTGCTTTGTGCTTACTTCAGATGGCAATGCTGGGATTAAATGACCTGTGCTTTCTCGTCCTGTAGTCTCAGCAACGTTAGACCTTATGGTAAACAAACTTGTATCTTCTTTGTATAGTGCCCCTTTATGAAAAAATGAAAAGGGCCTAGCTGGAATCTCCACTGGTACGCCAAACGCACACACAGAAGTCTGATTGTGCTGGGATCTCCCTTGTAGGTTTTCAGACAAAGATTACAGTGTTTGGAGGAGTGAGCTGTCTTTTATGTCCTGTAACCATGTGAGCTGCTGTGCTGTCATGCTCACTGACAAATAACAGTATATCTTATTTCTCACAGGGCTTCCAAAGCAGCTGAGGACAGGACCTTAAGGACAGTAAGTGCTGAAGTAACTGGCACTGAGAGGAACGGAAAAAGATGGCAGTCCTTATTTGAAAGAATTAAACGCATGGACTCTCACTGATAAGAAACCATGTCAAAAAAAGGACGTAGCAAGGGCGAAAAGCCTGAGGCACTGATTGTTGCCCTACAGGCTGCCAATGAGGAACTCAGGACCAAGCTAACAGACATTCAAATTGAGCTGCATCAGGAGAAATCTAAGGTGAGTGAGGATTTGGTTTTAAAAAACAGTATCTGCACTGAAGGAAAAAAATCACATGGAAAAAACTATATCACAGAAATCAATAAATGCAACACAACTCTTCTCCAGAGCGGTGATCTGATTCTTTCTGCACATACAACATTTTCATACTGTGGATGCCCTGTTGCTTCAGTGGAAAAGCTTTCTTTTTACGGAGGTACAAGTTCAAGAAGCATCTGGCCCTCAAAGGGAGCAGTAATGTCTTTTGTAACGTCTTTGGCCGTGTTCCAGTTAGTGGGTTTCATCCTATCCACTCAAATTGTCTCTAACTATACTATTTTTTTTTAATTTCCAGTGTCTAGAAATTGTGTAGTGTTGCTGTTTTTTGAATGACTGCTTATTTCAGCAAGAGATGCCTTTATTTCAAAGTTGAGTGAAGTGGTCCTTAAATGTATAGCATGACAGTCCGTTTGGACCCTTGTAATCCATCTGCAGTGCAGCCGAACTGTATTTTGTACATTAAGGTATGTATACATTGTTTAAAGCTTGCTCAGGTACCAATGGTCTGCCAGAGTTACCATCTCTGATATCTAAACTTAGTCTAAAGCCAGCTGGGTAACATACACTCAGGGCATAGCCACACCCCTGCCTACAGCATAGACATACCTGTGAAGGTTTGAGATGCCACCCGTGTATTTTAGAAGCCTTTGGCACAACCTCAGGGCTGCAGCTTCAGCTCTTTCCTAGACCTTCTGTTGAAGTCTTCCCACTCTTTTCTTGCATTCTCTCTGCTAGGGGAGCCCTTGTAAAGAACATGAGATCCCTCTGTACTACTTCAGTCTTTTTAACGAGTGAAAAAGGCAACGGGCTGGGTGTTATCCAAATATAAAATACTGGCTGTTTTTCAGGTACTCTGCACATGTCCTGCTCACCTTACATTAAAATGCTTGCAAGCAGGATTCGCTCCTAGTGTTTTCTTATCAAGTGGGCTAGAGACAAGGCTACCTGAAACCAAGCATCCCCCACCTGCTGCCAGGTGGCAGCCGCGTTTTCAGAGGATGATGTCTATTAATATATTTTTCTCCAGGTAGCTTATAGTTGAAGTCTATCAATCTGGCTCCAATTCCTTTGTAAATAAGCATATACCCTGGGCAAACAAACCCGGATTGACTTGCTTCTAGCTTCCAAATCTGAATAGCCACAAATTCTTCAGCCTCTGGGAAGCCTTTTTAAAAAAAATTATTTCTTTAGGGAAAGGCTTTCATGCCAATATATCAAGGTTAACCATACTGATAATCTCAGACAACCATCAGCCAGTTCAGTATAATTGTAGGAGGAGCCAGATGATTTCAGATGATGTCTGCGGGCATTGTTCCCTCACCTACCAATGAAATTTATAGGCATTAATTTACAACCTTTTAAACTGGACAGGATTTGCAAGCTGCAAGAAAACTGACACCATCATGCTTTCAAATTCACTCTGCATCCTTTTCTTTTACAGATGGCTGATGGCAGCCTTGGAAAGCAAAAATGATTTTCGATTCTTTTGTTTCTTTTTTCTCTGCAAGCTTTGGCATTCGTGTCTTGCACACAGGCAGGGTTTATCTATTCTCCTAAAGAATTATAGGCTTGCTGCCAGAAAGCTGATAACCCAGGGAGTTTCCCTAATGCCTTTCTTTATATTCTGAGTCTTGCTGCTTTTCTTATCACTGCATCTGTGGAATTCTGCTATGGTAGCTGCCAATGCAGATTTTTGTTACTAGTCATCACTTCAAGGATGGCACAAAATAGCAGGAGTTACAAGAGTAGGAAAATCTTGAAAACAAAAAAGAGTTATCTGAAACATATGTAAATGTGCAGGAAGGAGATGAGCAGAACATGAACAAAATGATGAAATTGCTTGAGCTTCAGTAACTTCCAGGTTGCCTGTCCATAAATGCTCGCTACCATACCTGTGACCAAATGGGACTGGTACTCAAGGAATTGTCATTATGGAGTAATGAAGGGCTAAAAACTAGTCTCTGGAAGTAGATCACACTTGTGAATTTGTCTGTGGTTTGGATGCAGAGGAGCAGCCACCGCTGCAAATTTTACTTTGATCTGGAATTTAGATTTTAGGTCTTTCCCTTTTTCCTCTAGGCATAAGCAGGTTCAGAGTGGACGTTTTGGTACAACCTTGTCTCTAAATTCAGGTTAAAAATAGGATGCCAAGCCAGCCAATCACACAATATCAGAAGGAGCTTTAAGAAAGTGTTCATTCCACAGGAGGAGTCAAACAAATAGGATCTCTGGACTTTTCCTGTCTCTGCTAGCAATAAGTTCACTCTTCCAGTGAATCCAAAGAAGGTAGAAGGTAGAAGGTAGAAACCTCCTCTGGCATTATGGTCTTTTATTAAACAGGCCTCTAGTCTGTTTTTTTCAAATGTAGTTATCTCTTCTCTCTCTTTTTTTTTTCTCCTCCACAAAGGCTTCTTTCATCCTCCCTTTTTTCCCCATCATAATGATACAGTATCTACAAGACAGTCTAACATGACTAATGACATTTCAATTATATAAAATAGGCAGCCTGGAAACTAACAGCTATAAAAAACAGGCATCCCAGAGCTCAGCTGGGTTTGTACTCAGGCTCTGGCTGGGTTTAGTCTTCATACTGCACTGTTGTGGATACCCAAACTACGTGATAGTATTGTCATGCCAAAATAGATCAGTTACCATCATTGCACCTTGTTTTGCAGTGCATCAAGCTTACTTTTTAATGAACAGGAAGAGATATGTTAATGAGAGAAAGAAGGCATTGGGCTTATTTTTAGTCATGAATGTTCAAAGTCAAGGCTGGACTTAGAATGAAAAAGGAGTGAAGGCAAACCAAAAACCTGCCTTAAGGACATAGCTGGGGCTAAGATTAGGTATGGCTTTCTCTTCAAAAGTGTTTGGTGTAATAAGAGCATGTTAATGTCTCGCACAAATCGTATAACTATGACTAAAAGAGATTGCAGTGCACCCTGGCTGCAAAGTCTTTTTGTTGTATCTGACATTTATTATTGCACATATTTTTTTGTATCAATAACTTCCAGAGTCCTTGGGAGAAGTCAGTGGGAGTTGCAAGTGCAGACCACCTTTGAAAAGCATATATTTTTAATACTTTGCTTGGAAAAGTTCTTGTGCATTCCAGAGCCCTATGGAGGAAGTGTTAGGAGAATCTTATAGATTTGTTTTCCATGGAGCCCTCTGAGACAGGTGCATCTCATTTTTAGAATCTATTAATAATCAGAATGACTTTGGTGACTGAAAATGAAGTAGAAGTATGCTTTCAAACTCTTCTTCCTCAGCTCCCCTTGAAGGCTTCTTTTGGGGAAGATATATATGAAACCAGATGGGGATAACGTGAGAGGGGAAAAAACAAGTCAGTCAGCTCTGTACATATAGCTGATATACCCTACCCTCTCTAATTCCTATCTAAGTAATCAATTAGGCCTGCAGGCTAGACCACCTGTGTCTCTTGGAGGACCTTCAGATGACCCATTACTCCTTTTATTCATACTGATTTTTCTTTGCCTTGCTTTTTCCTTTTGAATATGAAAGGTTTGCTCACTCTTGTTCATTCTTTGTGGTCTTCATTTAAAAAGAAATTTACAAGGATATTCTTACAGTCTTTGAAATCCTCCTTTTCTTTTTCACTGTGAATAATAAACCTACTGAGTTTGCTTTGAACTTGAAGCATTTCCTTATCAGTTGTTTTCCTTTGGTGTAGGTTTACCCAGGTTTGTTGTTGTGGGATTGCTCAGGGGTATGAAGTTGCACCTAGAGATATATTAGTGTAAGTGTACTGAAGATTGGTGAGTTGCTCTGTAACTTGGATTCCAGAGTTATGGACAAAGAACTTTAAAAACTGTTTTTGATGAAGAGCAGCAAAGGGCGTATTTTAAGAAAAGCTAGCTGTTCCATAAGTATAATAAGGAATGAAGTGTGTTGTTCTGTAGATTTATGTCCAAGAAGTGACTACAAATGCCAGTTAAAGGCATTTACTTACAGGTAAGAACATCTATAAAAACCAAGATGTTTCCTGGACTTTCACACTTGCACCTTATGTCAGTTGGGATTGCTTAGAGGCACTCACTCTCCCTCCTCTAATTGACTGCCCACGTTGATGAAAGCTATAGGAACCTAGCTATTTCTGAGCCCTCTAATTTTCTGTTAAATTCTGCTGAAATTGACTGATGGGTTAGAGATACTAAACAAATGCACGCATATACAGAGAGTCTTATTTCCTAGGGAAATACTGGAAGTATGTGTGGTGTCACTGCGTGAGGCAGGACATTGGGAGAAGATAGTGATGTTTTGGCTTGAGTAAAGACAGTGTAAAATTATGTACATACTCCAGGATTTGGTGCATATTTTGTTGTAGTGAGGATGGGGGGGAGCATCTAGGGTCTGCAGCAGGGACTTCCTCTATTTAGCATGCCTGTGTGTCTGGGTGGGCTTGTTTTGACAACGTTACATTGGTGACAAGTAACTTTCTTCTCATCTCAACATAGGTTGCTAAACTGGAAAGAGAGAAGACTCAAGAAACTAAGCGGATCCGAGAAGTGGAGCAGCGCAAACAGACCGTGCAGATCACAGAGCTCAAAGCCAAACTCCACGAGGAGAAAATGAAGGAGTTGCAGGCCGTGAGGGAGAACCTCATCAAACAGCATGAGCAGGAAATGACGCGGATGGTGAAAGTGCGAGACAGTGAAATCCAGCGCCTCAAGTCAGCGCTGTGTGCACTGCGGGACGGGAGCAGTGATAAAGTAAGGACAGCGCTGACTATTGAGGCTCGTGAAGAGGCCAGAAAACAGTTTGACTCCGAGCGCCTTAAGCTGTTGCAAGAAATTACTGAACTGAAGTCTGCCAAAAAGCAGGTAGACGAGGCCCTTAATAATATGATCCAAGCTGATAAGATCAAGGCAGGTGATCTTCGGAGTGAGCATCAGTCTCACCAGGAAGCCATCTCTAAGATCAAGTGGGAGAGTGAAAGGGATATCCGCCGCCTGGTTAGTAAGAGTTCCCTGCATCAGAACAGTTCATGTGTCGTCTTATGCTGCAGTCCGTTTGCCTCTTCTGCCTCTTAGGTTTTTTGTACAAACAGAATTCAGCAATGCACCTGAATTTGCAAAAATACTAAAAACTTCTCATTATCATTTCTCAGCAGGAGATAGATTAGAGTCAGTAAGCTAGAGCAACCGCTATGAGGGCTACTAACACCTTTGAGTAAAAAAGTAATTTGTCTAGCCAATAAGGAATTGGCTTGCTGAGATGATAATACATCTGCAGTGCATTGTGTTAGAAAAAGACAACGTTTGCATCTGCATTTGCAGCTTATTAGTTTCTTTAACCTTTATAACGGTATCCTAAACACATTAAACCAGGGCAGGAGGGGAGATATCATTTGTTTTGATCTTGGCATAGCCTTCGGTAATTACTGGGGAAAAAATGAACAAAATAAGGCCCAAATCAGCAGAGGTGTAAGTAGCCATTGTTTGCTGACATCCAAGGAACTGGGCCTGCTTGCAACATTGGAAAGTTTGGCCTGGAAGCTGGAATTCAAGATTTGACAGTTAAGTAAAAGAAATGATGATTTGAACACTGTTAAAAGTGAACATTTCAGTTTGAAGTCTGTGGACTGGAAGTATATTCTTGCATTGCCAAATGATAAATAACATACATAGCACAGACTAGTAGTGGTGGGTTCTTCATAGCTGCCTTCTGAATTTTGATGCTTCCTGTTACTTTGACCCACATTTGCAATTCTGTGTAGCCATGAGGACTAACTACTTTTCTTTTTCCCTGTCTGAAATCCAGGACCAATTTTCAGGATTCTAATATAAAAAGGAAATGCAATGAAACTCAGGATAACACTGAGCCAGCAACTCAGGCTCTATATATCTATTGCATGATTTCGTCTTAAACAACTGATGAAAGGCTTATACAATGGTATTTACATGCGTAAGAGCCATGCACAAGGCCGCAGTTATTTTTATCTGACTTACACAAGTGGTTTACGCTTCCATTGCGTGGCCATCAGAGAGGAGGAAGTTATGCCAGAGTGACATTTGGCTAACAGAGACCAGAGTCTAGTCCCACTCATTTGAAAAAAGCTCTTTTGGGAGGATTTCAGTAAACCTAGAAGGCTGCAAGATCAGAAGGTGTCTTTGGCAGCTTCAGGCAAAATTTAGCATAGATAACATTTTTGTTTTGAGGAAATGATTTTCATCTTTCCCAGATAAAAATACTTTTATTTCCCAAACTGATTTGCAAATTCTGGTTCACTGACTTTTCTTGGCCTCAATGACATTAGCTGCTTTGTACCAGTCTTCATGGTTGCAAGGCTTGTGTGCACTCATCTTACACAAGTTGTAAATAAGAATTTCCCTTCTGGTCATCACTCCTTAAAGCTGCTGTGAGATGAAATAAGAGGCGCTTCTTTATTGTCTTGGATAGTCCTGGGATATTAGGCAGAAATGAAGTAACAATAAAATGAATTGTCTTGAGTTTTCCAGTCAGCCTTAAAAAAAAAAATACTGAGTTTGCACAGATTTTCTGTTTGTGAGAGGCAGGTCTGCTAGCTCCACTAGCTACTGCTCTACTAGCAGGAGCTAGTCTAAACTTCTTTGGTCAGAGTTTATACTTAGTTTTCACAAGTATAAATAACTGACCAAAAGGCAATGTGAAAGCCTGAACTCTTTGTCTGATTTTCAGAACTTTGGGTCTCATTCTGCTATGTCTGTTGGGGTTACAAGAGCTAAGCAATTTAGCAAATCATACCATGTTCGGTTCCTGGGCTTCAGTCATCATAGGCTGATGAATCAGATGCTGTGATGGTGTATGGATATGGCTGCAATCTCAAAGTGCATTGTTTTATAACCGTGGTGCAGTATGGTGTAGCAGAGATAAGTGGTGAATATGAGTATTAAGTAAATCACATCCTACTAGATTGGACAAGGGTGAAATGCTGTTACCTTTACAGAGTGCAATTGTTGCCTTGGTGTTTTTCTCATTCAGATGGACGAGATCAAGGCTAAAGACAGGATTATATTTTCCCTGGAGAAAGAACTGGAGACGCAGACAGGCTATGTGCAGAAGCTGCAGCTGCAGAAGGAAGCTCTGGATGAACAGCTCTTCTTGGTGAAGGAGGCAGAGTGTAACATGAGCAGTCCCAAGAGGGAGATCCCAGGAAGGGCCGGAGATGGTTCGGAGCACTGCAGCAGCCCTGTACGCAGGTTTTACTGTCCCTTGCAAAACAGAAACATAGCTATGTTTCTCTTGCTAAATTATTTTCTTGGGCCCTGGGAAAGTGTTCCCACTTTCTTATATACTGTAGAGAAATTATGTCCACAGATTCTTCAGAGAAAAATGCCAGTGGGACAAAGCTACGTAAGGCTGTTTCCTCAGTTGCTATATTAACAAATATACAGCAATATATACAAATACATAACCAGGCCCCTTTGAAAGTATCATTCCATTAACACAACTCTCCAGATAGCCTACATCCTCAGAAAGAAATGTGCAGAACTGGGAGGCGAAGCAAGGAGGGGCAGGGAGAAGGCTGGGGGAAATCAGGGACCTCTTAGAAGAGTCTCCTCTTTCTTTGTCTTATTCCCCCACATGTACTGGCCTTGCTGTCAGTCACAAGGCATGCAACTCCCCAGGGAGTAAATGTATATATTTCCACATTTGTTGTGATGTTACCATGAATCAGGAATACGAAGATAAATACAATTGATAATGAACGGGCTGTCCTTACTCTTCACCTAACATACTATTTTCAGAGTGGCTCAGAAAATAGAAGTGATGTATAGGAAAAGGCGATAAAAATTAGAATCTTTTAGCTTTTTATCCCCCTCCCCCCCAAAAAAAAGAGAAAATATAAACATGTTTAGTTGATTTTTACCTTTCTTAACAGTTGAAAATTTCTAATCTTAAAATATCCCCTGAACCAGATACTTTCTTCCAAAAAATAATATGTTTTTCCCAAAACACTCAATACTGTAAAAATCCAGAAATATCATTTGTTGATGATGACAACTTCAGATGACTAGTGTGTGGTTTGGAGAATTCTTTTTTTCATTTTTTTCCCAACCATGTATTTTGAAAAGAAACAGTAACTGTGTTATATTGTTACCAATAAACAGGACTTGCGCAGAAACCAGAAGAGGATAGCAGAATTGAATGCCACCATCCGGAAGCTGGAAGACAGGAACACGCTGCTCGTTGATGAACGAAATGAACTGGTGTGTGAGCTTTGCACTGTCAGAGAGAGAAGGTTGGAAGCCTTCGGGAAAGGCAAAAGGAGAAGGCTCCACGGGTGATACAGCCAATGATGAATATGCCTTTTCCACCCATCACGCTAGCAGCTCAGGCGGCTGAGGATGGGTTTTTCTCTAGAATTAGTCTTTTGTGGCAGCTTTGCAGCTGCCTGACTGTGCTCTTGGGTCGCTTTATCTCTGTGTCTCAGTTTTCCCATAGGTAACACCCTCTTTCAGAAACAGATGTGTAGAGTTATGCTTTGAGATTTATTGGTGAAGAAAGTTTATAGAAGCACCAAGCGTTACTATGATTGTTTTGCCAGTTCCATTTGCCACTTTCTTTGCCATTTTACTGGGACAGTGGTCAACAGGGAAGGTAAAAAACTTCTAACAAAGGAGGAAAAAATATCTTTTTTTTTTTTTAAATTACTTACAATTATTAATTGTTGTCATCAATCCAGTTGAAGCGCGTCCGAGAAGCTGAAAAACAATGTAAACCTCTCCTGGAAAAGAACAAGTGCCTCACAAAGAGAAATGATGAGCTGATGCAGTCTTTGCAGCGCATGGAAGATAAACTCAAAGCAATCACTAAAGAAAATATAGAAATGGTTGGTATTGAAGAGCAAAGTGAGGATGACTGCATGATGTACATCTGTTTTGGTGGGCATGTCTGCACAGTGTATGCATATAAATACATAGAGAAAGTATGTGTACTATTGATAAGATAAGGCCTGTATATAGTAAGATTTAAGTACTGTAATGCTGTGTATTATGCATACCCATGCAAGATATTTAAGTGAATGCATAACCACAGTCTTTAATACTGTCCCAAAAATTAGATTTATGAGTCTGTTATAAAAAATTGTTGTGTCACTGGGTCACGTCCTACTGTGCAGTTTTGCATCTGGAACTCAGAAAGGAAGCTGTTAAGAGCTATGTTTTTAGCCAGCCTCATGTTCATCCTTGAATATATATGTTCTTGGTATGCCTGAAGCACATACAATCTTCCCATAAAACACAAGCATGGTAGATAGCTATTGGAAAGCGAGAAAGGTAGCATGGTGGCTGGGGTCATAAATTTCTCATAACAGTGCTGTGTGAAATGGGGTTAGAGCAGTTCTGTCTGCAGATGCCTCAAATGGAATTGTTCTGAGTCCCTGCATATGCACAAATGTTGCCTTGGCATTAATTTAAAAAAAAAAAAAAAAAAGAAAAAAAAAGGAGATGGAAGTCCTGGGTTGCCCAATATAAGCTGGCAGGTGCTGAGAAAACTTCGCCTGCTAGGTGCGTGTGTTACATTTCTGGCTCCCGAGAGCCACTGTCCTCATCTTGAGCGGGCTGGCTGTTTTGCAGCATGGATGCAGCTCTCCCCCTGATTAGATTGAGATTCACTTTGTTGTTAAATGGAAGAAAGGCTTTAGTATTACAAGGTTAATCAACTTTAATACTCTGCAGCTCACACATGCCCAGAAGACAGATAAACTTATCACAGATGTTACAAATCAGAATTCTTCTTGCACAGCTGGGAATACAAATCACAACCCACTGGGCTCTCCCCCAGCAAATAGGAGGAACTTCAAAGTCTCTGTGCATTAGAAACGAGCAGGCAGAACCACCAGTGCATGTGTGCACACGCAGCAAGTTCTAACTTAACTCCCTGATGTTTGCCCTTTGCTGTAGAGATGCCCAGATGATGGCTGTTAGCAAGCTGTGGGTGGCTATACTAACTCCTGTGGGCCGTAGCCATGTCCTCTTCCTCTGCCTGGGATGGGATGCATGTCATTCACATGCCTAAAACGTGTGCCTTTCCTCACTTCGTAGCAGGCCGTAGGATGGGTATGAGCAAGTGCATGGGGTCACAGGCGTGGATACTGCCTGCGTACCCTGTTATGTGACTGGGCATGTGGGCGTACGAGCATATGCCCCACACAAGGTGGATGTCCAGATACATTGTGAAGGAAGAGCTGTTCTATGTGACCTTTAAGGGCTGCTGTAGAGGTTGTGGCAATCCACACAATAAATACATTTAAAAAGCTTTGTCATTCTGCATGAAGAGCTAGGCCTGCTACGCAGTGAGGAAAAGCACATGTTGCCTTGCTGTGCTGCTTTTTTATTAGGAAATGCTAGTAGGTATTAATAAAGGTATAAAATTTTTGTAGCTGAAGCATATTTAAAGGGCTACGCAGCTTAAAAGAAAGATAATGCCTGATTTCTAATTGAAAGGTTGTTCCTTTTTTTTAGTAATTGCTGGATCTTATTTTATCTATTTCTTTCTCCTTCTTATCACAGAGAGAAAAAATGACATCACATCCTCCTCTAAAGAAATTAAAATCTCTCAATGACCTGGATCAGGCAAATGAGGAACAAGAAACTGAATTTTTAAAGCTTCAGGTTATAGAACAACAGAACATAATTGACGAGTTAACAAGGGTATGTCCAGAGCACCAGGAATTAGGACCAATTCCTGTGTACAGTTCACCTCTGTTAGTATTTCTTATTATAAACAGAGGTCTGAGGGTTACTATCTTACCTCACTTTTAACCCCTACAAATTTTTAGATGTAGAAGTGTATGGATGCTGTTTATATGATTTCATAAATGTGTTCAACTAATAATTGAATTTCTGATGGCGCAGCAGCCCTGCAATCCTGAGGTGTAACTCTTGTTGTGTGTAAATTAAGCTGTCTCTAAACTCCCTGGGTCAGCTCTAAAAATGAACACAGATTAAGAACCATGGAGCTCAGGAAGATACCTAGATATTCAGAAGGCATGGCTGTGCCGAGCTGTTTTACCATTATAACTAAACTACCATTGGAAAATCCCTTTGTAAGGAGGGATGTAGGACACAGTGCAATATCCTTCATGTACTGGAACAGAGCTTGCTGCTGGGTAATGGATCGCTAGTATTTCAGTCATAGCATTTAATACTAACAATCCCTTTTTCGGCTAACTTTGCAGTATGGTATTGAGGGGAAGGAGAAGGAGACTCCGAAACAGGTTGTTGCCTTTTCTAAGACATCACTTCTAGGACTGCTGAAACCATCACTAATATCATTTAAAGACTTGGAGACAAGAGGCAGCATCACCTCTGCATGGAAGGCAAGCTGTGCGCCTCAGATAAAAACGCCCAAACCAGTTCCCTGTAACAGATCTCCCAGTGATTTTAACAGGAAATTGATCAGCTCGTGGTGTTTGACAGCTTGTCAGGGCAACTATACAACAACTGGGATTTCTTTTCAGATATCCTTTCTTCCCTTCTTCAAATGGTTTTCGACTGATGCAGATACCATGTGAATGACTCCTCCCTTCCACCTGGAGTCAGCTTTCTGTTTGAACATACAAAGAGTCAGTGGAAGCCCAGTGACTTACTTCATCTCTAGATTTGCCTTTCCACAGCTGCATGGAAAAGAAGAGGAACACGAATTTTGACTTCAGTAACTTTTAATCTTGTTTTGCAGGATAGGGAAAAACTCATTCGTCGCAGAAAGCATAAAAGGAGTTCAAAGCCAATTAAGGTAAGAGAAAAAAGTTTTCAGCTTGTAAAAGTGCCAGTAGGCTTTGTAGGAAAATGCACTTTAACAATCTAATTACAGAGATCGTTTTGTATTATAACAAGCTTATTTAGTGATGGGGTTTATAAACGTGTTAGTTTCTTCAGGAAAACTTTTTAGGTGCTCTTTGAGATTCAGTTAAGGGTGCATAACTATTTTATTTTCAGCAAAATGGGGCTTTTTCCCCCCTCTCTAAGAAAGTTATAATCTATATTCAATCTGTTTTCTATAAATACTGGTCTTGAGGCCTAATTACACTGAGATGTATTTGCATTCCTAGAGACTTTCTTATCCATCTTCTGCTGTCTGATTTTCATAGCCCATCTGGGTCAATCCTGCAATTCACACTGAAGCATAGTTCTTATGTTATCTTTTTTCTGCAAGTGGCTCTAGTCCAGTCCCTGGTATAACTTAGAAAAATTTTAAAGCTGAGTGGTCAACAGTGATTCAAATAGCTCTTTTATCAGCTGGATTTAGGGAATGAGTTTGCAACAGCCAGATCTCGTCTCTAGAGAGTGGAGAGACTGGGCAGGAAACAGAGCTTGGTTGCTCTTTGTCCTCTGAGGACATCCCTTGGTAGGTCAGCCATGTTCCGTAAAGTAATGCAATGCTTTCCTAAACACAGAAAAGTTAGGACCAGTAAGTCCTAGGTGTATTCTCACATCTATATGGGTTTGAAGCAATATACAGCAAACAGAACTGAGAGCCAAGGACTAAAGAGTATTTCCATCGTTTAACTTTATTTCTAAGCCAGAAATTGTACCAGGTGGAAAAATATGGCTATTGTCTTCACTTGGAAAAATAATGACCAAAAAAAGATAATATATCCAAAAGTTTCTTGGCATCTTTGGTGTATGTTTTTGCATGATTCAAATTCCAGGTTTAGAAGGTTGTAATCTGACAGCATTGGAAGTTAACAATGTTGCTGTAGTCAGTGGTGTTCTGCTGATTAATTTTTCTAAGCTTGAGGATCTGGCTCAGTCTAAAACTGGGAAAATGTAATGGGAGTAGGAGCATGCTAAGGAGAAGTTGCTGCCCTTGCTTGAAGGCAGAAGAACAGGTTGTTAACCCCAAAGAAGACGTCTGTCAGCATGTAGACTGATCTTCAAAGGTAACCCTAAAGGACTAGAGATGTCTAAGGTGCAGAATAGAGACCCTCATTCTTCTCTCATGGACACTGCTGATATCGCTGAAAATCTCAGCGCTTCTCTACCTGATACTTCTGTTACTTGGAGTAAGTCAATAAAAGCTATGCTAACACAAAACTAGTATGAAGAAGTGGAGACTTGTATTTTGCACGTCTTCTCGGTACTGTAGTAACTGCCACATGTTGAAAGAGACTGCTCACACTACAGTTTGGTTGCCTATCTGACACCTCACTGTCTCCAATCTAAATAATTGAATTAACCCATCAGATGAAAACTGTGAGTCATGTCCTATGAAAACAGAGCTGCTTGACCTGCAGGCTTGGGTTTCAGGGTACAGGTTTGAGCACTTGGCATATGAATAGTTATGCAGACGAACTGATCAATGAACATTTAAGATGCACTGCCTACAGCATTACTCATGTTCTCCCTCAGCACCAGATCTAGTCTGGGTTTGGTTGGAGATGGTATTTGCAGGGGCAGATCATACCTCTTCTTCCATGTCTGTCTGTCTGGTTTTTTTTTCCTTTGTTTTTTTTAGTATGTAGCAATGCGATTTTGAAGCTGACTAACCTTTTCCCCCTTCAGAAACCATACTATCTGTTTCCGAGGAGATTCAGAAATCACGTGTTTTTCCTTCTTTAGAGACATGTGGTAGATACAGTTTTTGGGTATGATGATGATTCCATGGACTCTGAAACATCCTCCATGGCCTCATATAGAACAGACAGAACACCAGCAACCCCAGATGATGATTTGGATGAGGTACGATATGAGTTCTTCCACACACAGATCCAGTTTTTCAAGAAACTTTGACTTCCAGATTAAGTGGCCAGGCTCTCAAAGACACTCAGGTTTTACTGGAGCATACTGAGTGATGCTTTTCTCTAAGTTTGGCCTCAGTTTTGATTACTGATACGCTAAAATGCCAGCTGGGAGGTTCTTTCAAAATCTAGTCCCTAGAGTCTACAGCTGTGATTTTGTTGCAATTTGAGAGGATTTTTTTCCTCTCTCCCCTCAAGAAAATCAAACTATCACACTTCTTTTAGCTTGAAGACATATAAGCACGCTATAAATTTTACATTCTTACTACTTCATATTACAGCAATCTCATTTAAAAAGCTGTTTTGAATCAAGACCTGTAAATCAGCTACTGTTTTTAACCAATCACGTTTGCATTCCTTAGCAATGCTCTGGTGTCTGATGCTTAGACATGTCCTTTCTGTTCCCTCAGAGCTTAGCAGCGGAAGAATCAGAGCTGCGGTTTCGACAGCTGACAAAGGAGTACCAGGCCCTGCAGAGAGCTTATGCACTACTGCAGGAGCAGACAGGAGGCATTATAGACGCTGAAAGAGAAGCCAAGGTCAGTATTTGTTCGAGGAGGGGGAAAGCATTTCATTGCTACCAGTGTATGCAGACACCTAAAAGTGACATAAAAGGAAATGGAGTTAAATATCCATAAAACAGAGGGACATCTATTTCACTGATTTGCTGAGTGCATTTAAAGAGACTGATGATTAAGGATGGACAGAATCACTCAACTTACAAGGTGTTGTCCTCCAGCTGAACCTGAAAACTCTGCATTTAAGCAAGCATGCCAAAGCGTGCAATTCTACCACTTGCCACAGATTCACAAGGGATTTCCTGTCTTTTGCTCAGGGATACAGGGGTTTGTAAATGTAAATGGAAGACTGGGCTTTCACAAAGACACATTGTACCATGTTTAGACATACTCACCTGAGTGTTTCTGACAGAGCTGTGAAAATTAAATTCAAATTTGGACATGATGCAGATTACAGTAAACCTTCCAAGGCTAAAAATGTTGTCCCCTTAATCATAGAATTGTTCAGGCTGGAGGAGACCTTAGATGTCTCTAGCCCAACCTCCTGCTCAAAGCAGGGTCAGCTCTGAGCTCACAGGTTGCTCAGCGCTTTGTCCAGTCAGTTCCTGAAAACCTCCAAGGCAGATAGGAGTGCTTCTTTCCTTACCCTGTGCCTGTCTCATCTGCTCAGCACGCTCCCTTCAATTAAGGGTCTGCCCCTTGCTAGGTTCTTTAAGCAGAGCCTGTTCTGCTGGATACCTGAGCTTGGTTTTTCTACTCAAATGCGGCACATAGTAATAATAAACTTGATGGGGGGGGGAGGGGGTGTGCATGCGTGTGTGTGTTCATGCTGATTTTTCATACTGTCCCCTTGTGTCATCTTTATGCCAGTCTGTGAAATATCACTGACCCAGAGTCTTCATATTGGTTACTCACTCAGTGGAAATGTTTGCCAGACTCTTTGCTGTGTTTGGTTTCCTTTAACAGTTGTATTTCTCCTTTTGTTACTGTTTAATGCTGTGCCTGACTTCAACAGGCTCAGGAGCAGCTCCAAGCTGAAGTCCAGAGATACAAAGCCAAAATAGAAGATCTGGAGAAAACTTTGGCACAGAAGGGGCAGGTAAGCACTTCTTGTATATATTCTTTTGCTATATTGAGTTTTACTTGCTCTACTCACAATATCCCTGGCACAGTTTCAGTACAGACTTTCACAGGACGCAGTGTAGCTGTTGACTAAATAGGTAGGTCTAAAGAATTTAGAAGCCTTTCTACAACTCGGCTGATTAATAAATTTTCTTTCCTGTAATCCATACTTTGTTGCTCTAGGATTTTAAAGCCTGTATATTGCGGCTTCATTTGTCAGTAAACATGCCAGACCTCGTGGAGTTTGATTATTCTGTAACAGTACTGCTTCATCCAACAGGACTCGCACTGGGTGGAAGACAAGCAGCTTTTCATTAAGAGGAATCAAGAGCTTTTAGACAAGGTACATTCAAAACTTTTGGGTTTTCACTCTGAAGGCTAGTCTGGATCATGCAATACACTGTTTGATATGGGATCTGGCGCTTACAGATGTTGTATTAGGGCAGAACCACATAGATGGATATGAATAGGATAACATATGGATAGACAAGTCCTTTCTAGCTCTGCCTCAGGCAATGCCGATGCTAGCAGTTCCTAGGCTGATTCACCTAGCTCTGCCAATAAACTCCCATCCTGACAGGTGGAAGCTCTGCTGCAGCATTCTATCTTTGAGGTGCAGACAGTTGCCTTCATGCAACGTTATGCTAAAGTCTCTGCTGTTGCTACCCTGGCAGGACATTTTGAATTCTACTTCTGGGTGTGAAATAGCAGTAGGTAAATTACAGGTAAACCCTGTAATACCAGAACCGTTTCAGACTCCCCGTCTGTGTACGTTCTATATATTTTTAAGGGTTTATGTCATCTCTAGCTCCAGTGGTATTTGTCTCCTCAGTTGGTGCATTCGGGAACATTACCTCTCTATATATAGATGTGTGTGTATATGTGTATATATGTGTGTGCATTTTGAACATGGAAAATAGGACTAGGAAGGACCTCAGCCTTGCTGGCATATCGCCAGCAGTGGCCATGCATACTACTGCCATCAGCAATAGAGGCCATAACACCCGGTATCCTTCCTTCTTTCACCTCCCCAAACAAGGTGTCTTAGCCTGTGTTTCTCCTCTTCCCTAAACACCCCTTGTAAGCCTCCAGCGCTGTGCCATGCTCCCCCACCTAAACTGCAGCTCCAGCTCTATTCCCTCACCCATGGGTGGCTCATCTGACCTCAGTCTTACCGTGCTCCCTACCTCCCCTTGTCTGGGCCATACTCAGAAAACTTGATTGCAAAATACAGGTCCTGGCACTGGCTGGAGACTTGCAGAAAACAGCAGGCAGAGGAGCTAGTGGGGTTGTTGTCCACAGCAAGCAAGGTAGCCAATTGGCTGATGGGTGTTCTTCACCTCTATCTGCTCATCAACAGAACTACTTGTGTGGATATGCTTGCTGTGTAGTTCACGTGAGTGCTCGCCCAGAGCTGGATGGCTGCTCAGGTAGATGCCTCCAAAGAGACAACAATAGAAACAGCTGTCCCTGCAGAGCAACTGCAGTTCATGTGCTGCACACTGGGAATCTCTAATCTAGCCCAAGCCCTTTTCCAGGGCAGCACCAGCTGTTTCTGCATCTGAGTAAACATCCCGATAGATGTTTATTCAACCTGTTTACAGGGTCCTCCAACAATAGTGTTTCCACAACCCCTCCCCAGACAGACTATTCCAGTGCTTTACAGTGAGAGCAGTGTCTAGTAGCTAACATAGAGTAATCTTATAGTTAACTTGACACTTTTGTAAAGTGCTAACCCTCACTGGGATTGGATTCCTTTAGGAAAACCTCCAGCCAAAGCATTTTATGATATTTAGCAAGTTGATGAGCAGAAGTCTACATGTGAACTAAAGACTCATTGAGGTAACACAGCAAGTATTGAATCATATCTAGAGTTTGGATTTTGCGTTGCCTGTGCTCCCTGAACTGCTATTCACCAAATATTCAATGTTTCTTATAACAGTCACACAGATCTTGAATTTACATATTTCTATTAGATAGAGAAACTGGAAGCAGAAAACAACCGTTTGCAACAGGAGCTGCAGGATGCCCGAGACCAGAATGAGCTGCTGGAGTTCCGCAACCTTGAGCTGGAGGTGACAGATGAGCTCCTTACAGTAGAGTTGGGAGCAGATTAAAATAGTGCACTTGTATGGGACACCAACTTTAATGAAGTGTTTACATCAGCGTCTTAGTGATATAACAGATGAACAAGTCAGGCCTGGTATATCTAGTTAGAGATGGGCTGTGGAAGTGTGTCAGCTCTAATATCCTGGAAATAGTAAGCTCTGTACTTGACTGGTTCACCTCTCATCGAGCCACGCGCCCAGTTTGCATAGATCAGCTTAGCCGATTAACTTCAGTGTGGCTCTGCTAGTATACCACAGCTATGGGTATGGTTTTTCTAACGTTTTGAAGCAATCTGTTGTCATCACGCTCTGTTTTTATTGCAGGCCTGGAGTAAAGATGTCCAGTGTTGGCCAGAATCTATTGAAATTAACAGAAATTAATTAAATTAACCAAATAAGCAAGGCTTATACCCTGTCTTCATGTACCTTGCTCAGGGCTGGATGTTGGTTCACAGCTCAGATCTCCTCTCAGAGTAGGCACCCAGGACTTTTTTTTTTTCGTCCCATGGACTTGAGCAGGTCTTGGAAGAGAAAGAATCTAATAGATCTTACATCTAATAGCTGAAGAGTAGAGCATTCCCCTAGGATGTCAGAGACCCAGGTACAGTTCCCTCCCAAGGTCTGCAAAGCCCCATTCCCCGCCCCTTAAAGTTCTTACTATTAATCTATATACTATACTTGTTCTTTTCAGCAAGGGGTGGTGAGAAGCAAGTTCAAGCTTCACTGACTGAGTGCTGGTGTAAGGAGAAGGACCTCTCTCTAGCCCTGTGGTTGAAGGACTTGCCTAGAACTGTTTGACTGAAGTTTAATTTAGCAGTTATACATGAAATTATGTAAACAATTGTAAGAGGAAATTTAAGTACCATATCTACTGGGGTGAAGGAGTTGCACCTTTCTCCTCTCTGACTCAATAAATCTTGAATTCTTTTCTCTGTGGGGACTTAGCTATGGGAGAAGAGGGGGACTGTCCTACCCAAACCAAAATACATTGGGTGATTAGAGCGCTCTCCGACGCAGGAGAGACACATGCAGAAGTCAGCTCCTTTGGGCTGCAGTAACTGAACCCAGGTCTCTGACACCCCGGAAGAGAGCTCTAACCACCAAAGGGCAGGCATGGCACCTGCTGGGGGAATCTCTGCTGACCCTGGGTGCTCTGCTGGCACCCTTTCAGGACTACAAAAGTCTCTACCTCAGTTTCCTGCCACTAAAGCGAGGACAGGAGATGTTTTATATAGGTGAATGCAGTCTTACTCCTATAGTCTTTAACATTATTATTGCCAACATTAGTATGTGTCAAAACCAACAGTGCCTGCCTGTGTTTCTTTAATACTTGGCCTGGAAATGTCCTAATTTGTTTCTACAGGTTTTAGGTGCTACCACAATACAAACAAATAACAACAGCCACAGAGACTGTGGGCAGATGTCCAGCCTATCTGCCTGCTTCCAAGCACTCACTTTTACAGGCATTAGACATGTTTCCCGTTCAGGAGCTTCCTCGTGATCTGAACACAAATTAACAAAGTTACCTCAGGTGACTGTGGAGATTCCTGAAGCCTAGGTTTGATTCTGTATGTGGCGAGAGGAGGAGTATATCAAACTTGGATTTTTCTCTCTTTAGACTGTTTATCTTTAGTTATGGATTCTTGTTATGAGTCCCAACCAACAAAACCTTCTATCTAATCTGTTCTCTAGTATAAACTGTTCTATTTTTCAGTTGTACTTTTCAGTTGCTGTCTTATGTTCTTGCCATTCAGAGTGGCACACAGAGCCTTTCCTAGCCCTCATGAGTCAGAGTTGTGACAGATTTGTCCCTTATTTGCAAACCTTTCCCACAATTTTAGCTGACAGCTGTGTTTCTGTTTGGTTTGGAACTGAACTTATAGATTCACTTAAATGTTTGTAAAACAAAAATACATTTAAAAGTGAAATTTATTCTTCACTTCTGTGCTCGCCTGAATACCTGAAAGGGATGAGAAGTAACAGCTTTCAAAAATTTTTTTTTTTATTCTTGCCATTGGTCCTTTAAAGCTGGGCAAATATTTGTAGGTTATATCCAGTGAAGGTGTATAAAAATAGCAAATCTAACCAACTTTATTTATTTTTTGAATTTATTACTTTCCACAGATGTTAGAACATATGACTTACCAGGATGAGCAAATGTGTAAGTCTGAGTATCCTAGTAGTCTTAAGTCAAATACCTGCTTCTAAAGGTATTTGCAACAAAATATAGCTGTTCAGCACTTCATTAGGGAAATCATTTTAAATGACATGTAAGTCTTAAGCACATGACAAGCTTCCCACAGACAATTTGCAAATAGACATTATCCATCAAATAAGTAGACTACTGCAAAATAATTCACTTAGTTTTAGCATCCTATCCCACTTGATACACTGGAGAATCTATTTGATTTGTCCAATTGTAGTTGATGATGATGTAATTGTTTCTTCTTTTTTTTTTTTTTAATAAGAGCTTATGCTTGCAAACCATGATAAAAAAAAAAAAAAACTGTAGCTATGGCATTTAATGAGCTCTTTACATATCTCATTCGTTCTAACATGTTCTCTGGTGTCTTTTCAAATTACTTTAAGGAAAGAGAGAGACGGTCCCCACCATTTAACCTTCAAATTCACCCATTCTCGGATGGTGTGAGTGCTCTACAGATCTACTGCATGAAGGAGGGGGTTAAGGTAGGTTAGTTTTGTAACACAGCACTTCTTCACAGAGCAGTAATGGATGCTGCCCACGTAACCCATTACATCCATCTCTGCTTGTAACACCACTAAATTTTAAGCATTTAAACTCAGTCTAAGGTGACTGATGACTGATGCAATTGAATTGAACTCCTAGTTCTCACCATAATCGTAAACCCTGGCTCAAAGGCAGCTGAAATTCAGTGTATGACACATTTGCACGAGATAATACAAAATGTTTGGTTCAGTATTGGTCAAAGGAGGGACAAATATTGCAGCTGTGATTAAGTGTGCATGCCCTGCCTTTATTTTATTCTCTCTTTGCAGGATGTCAGCATCCCAGACCTCATAAAGCAGTTGGACATCCTGGGTGATAATGGGGTAAGCAAAAGTGAGAGACGTTTTCCCTATACAAGTTTTATTGCGTACAGTTAGCATAAGTGAAAACTATAACGCTCATGCCTATTTTCTAAGGTATTTGTTGAAAATATGTAATACTAGAATCATTCATTTAAAGAGTGTTTATCTCCAAAAGTTAAGCGTTTGTGAGATTTCAGTAACCAGGGAACTAGTAATAAAGTTCCAGCTTTAACTTCTGTTCTAACAGACTGGGAAAGACTCATGTCTGAGCCAACCACTTTTTTTCTAAGCGGGCATTGCTACCTGCTACCCACTTTAGTCATCCATGTAAAAGAAAATATCCTGTATGTCTGGCCAACATTAAAACGTTTTAAGAAAACTTACAAGAAATAAAAGACAGTGATCGTTTCCTCACTTAATGATGATATAAATTAGCGTTATTTTTAAAAAAGCTTAATGGAAATTCAGCCTTGTAAATCGAGTATAAAGACAGACAAATGTGCCTAATTTTAGTCTAAATTTCTCATAAGATGCAGTGGTATGAAAACATTTATTCAGTACACATCATGCAGAAGGGCAAAAGCAGTGCTCTTTTTACGATGTTAACACACGGAATATTTTGATGGGACTAGGACACCCTACACACACTACAGAGTTCCTCGTAAGCACTCTAGAGCTAATCTATTGTCTGGATAATTTGTATTCATTGACTTCTGCAATTTGTTGGTTTAATGCAAGAAGAATAAGGTCTGGACTTTGAAAAATACTTTCCTCTGGGAAACCACTGCTCTTAGGCTTATTTTTTCTTCCCTCTCTTTCTCCTCTCAGAATTTAAGAAACGAAGAGCAAGTGGCCATAATTCAGGCTTCCACTGTATTGTCCTTGGCAGAAAAGGTAAAATGTGTACTTTTCTCATGTGTTATCTAAGATCTCATCTAACCCTGGAAATTTTCTGCTCTGTAGTTTTCAGTATTGTCAAACTTTCTAGTATAGGAAAAATTATACCAGGAGAGTGGTTCCCCAAATAAGGCAAACTCTACTAGCAGTAGTATTTTATAATACTGCACATCAACCAGAGATTTTGCAATAGAAATACCTTAGTGTAATCACAGTCCCAAACCCCTTGGCTGAAGCAGCAAGAATATTGAATACAACTGGCCCAAGCTATGCAGTCAGAACAGCTGCAAATGCAAAAAGAATGCCAAATGAGACTTGCAATCGTAAACTGATTGAGAAATCACCAGGCATTTAAGCGATAATTAGCAAATGCCTGGAATTTCTAGTCCTGAGATTTCCAAAGCTTCCGAAGGCATCTGTATGCAAAATTTCCACTGAAAATGTGTGTCTAAATTCCTCGTTTTTGGAAGTTAAAAAGAAAAAGGGGGTTGTGTTTTTTGTGGCTCAAACATAGCAGGCAACTATGTCAGCATGGTGACATCCAAGGATTCTACTTAGTCATTTCCCCTACGCTTAGGGAACCACCATCTACCCAGCTAAGCTATTTTCAGATGCTACAGCCTCACAGGCCCTCACTCACAGGATGAAATATTGTGTGCTTTATCATCTTCCAATGATAAAGAAGGGCCCAGAGCTAGCAATAGGTAACTACAAATAGACTGATAAGATGCTGGAGATGTCTGTTTGCCACTGTCTGCACGCCTAGAAAACACAGCAGGTTACAGCTCTCATTGTCTGTCCTCCAGTGGATCCAGCAGATTGAGGGAGCTGAAGCTGCTCTGCACCAGAAGATGATGGAACTGGAAAGTGATATGGTAGGGGAAATTTTTCTGAATACACATTTTAGAAGCAAGCCACTGCGTGTGTTGCATTTACCTGGCGTGCCAAAAGTTCACTAAAAAAAGGTCTCTTGGCAAATTAAGTAAGCAGGCTTCATCTGAGTATTGATGAATCCATAAAATTGTTACTAGTCTGTTTCATATGCAACAGCATAATCACAGAGAAATAGAAATAGTTATTGTCTGAAAACTTTATCTCTTTCCATGAGGACGATCATTTATTATTAACCACAGAGGGCTCAATGGTCGCTCAGTGACTTTCAGACATGAAAAAGACTACACTGTTTGCCTCATAAGATTCACAGTCTAAACATTAGTTGTAATATCACATTTTATTTGATACCAATAAGTGGGAAACTAATGAATTCTCACTCTGTTTTCTTCCATTACATTTTAAGCCTTGTTGTAAAGGCAAGACATTCACAGCTGAACTGAACTGCAGTAAAGTTAGTACCTTATCCTATTCTTATTGTAGTTAATGGAAATAACATAGAAGATGAACAAGCCTAATTATAAGAGTGGGTAACTGTAGTGGTTTACATTCTGTTCCTATGGTATGTCTATACTCAAGTCAATTCTACTTAGATAAGCTGAGAATGTAAAGCACAGTGGGTTTACATCCCAAATGATGTGGATGTGAATATGCCTTGTTCCGGTTTAGATTATTCTGCTTTCACACTTCTGAAATAAGAGAAACCCCCAAATGAATTGCTTATGCTTCCAAAGGAGATATATTAGAAAACCACACAGAAACACCTACATTACAGTACTGAAATGCCAAACAATATCACTGAAGTCAACAGAGAGATGGTGGATTTAGTTCCATGTAGATCAGATCCTACTGAAGCAAACACAGCTATTTTCCCTTCCTACTTTTCTAGCTGAGTCAGCTAATAACTCTGCAGAGTGTCAGTTGAAGACCAGTTTCCTAGTCCTGCCCAAGTCGGACATCTGTAGTTGATCAAATAACACTTCCCACAGTGTTTTGAGTAACTAATTAATTTTTTTTGTCCAAATGATCCTTCATTGTAGGAGCAATTTTGCAAAATAAAAGGTTATTTGGAGGAAGAATTAGACTACAGGAAGCAAGCTCTTGACCAAGCATACATGGTATGTACAAAGGCAATGCTACAGCACATACTGGCCAGTACTGTGACATGACACAGATTCCTGTAGGATCAGGAAAAGAGAGGTTTCTGTATTTCCTGAGTAATTTTTTTCAATTATGTCTTATTTTTTCCCATTCTGCTAACCTGCTACCATGCAGTCTGCACAGCCTCAACATGACACCTAGCCTTTTCACACCATAAAAAGGCAGGGTCCCCTGAAGTCAGAAACTCTTTTGTCAGTTAGAAGCAGATGTTGTTCATTAAGGTCAGCTTGTCCAACTGGAGTCAGTGCAACCAGTTGGAGCACAGATCTGGAATCTTAGATGGCCCATTTAGCACATGTTGTAGCAAGAGGACAATGTGCCACAAATAGCAAGAGCTTCTGTTATAAGACACTGGCATATCAAAGAGGACTGCACATCGGTCTGATAAGTGCATGTGCAAGTTCAGCATGTTTAATTTGTCAGTTAATAAGAGTACTCATTGATTAGCAGGATTAAGAGCATTGTAGTCTGACATGCTGACCTTCAATCTTTCTTCTCTTGGTTTTTAAGAGTGGGTCAAAATTTTAGAATTGGCAAAATATTCATCTTTTTCTAATTGCAATTATAAAATAGGTATGAAAACTTCATCCAGCTCCTGATCATCTCTGTAACTGCTTTAAAAAAAGTCAATGAGGGATTTCAGTGAAAATTAATATTGAAATATCATAAAAATAAAAGCCCAAATATTTTTTTGTGAAAATATTGAACCATTTCTCATGAGTTCTGCTTCTCACATTTTTGCACGCTTGAGCATAGGGACCATCTCTCGTGCAGGTGCCTGAATGTGCCACTAAACCCCCTCCCCCCCCCATCCCCGCAATGTTTTATAGAATGTTCTCTCTAATTGACTTTTGACTTTTTGCATTGACCAGAGGATCCAGGAGCTTGAAGCCACCTTGTACAATGCTTTGCAGCAAGAAACAGTGATAAAGTTTGGGGAACTGCTCACTGAAAAACAGCAGGAAGAGCTGAGGACAGCAGTAGAAAAACTAAGACGTCAGATGCTGAGGAAAAGCAGAGAATACGATTGCCAGATTCTTCAGGAGAGGATGGAGCTGCTCCAGCAGGCTCATCAGGTAAGACACAGGAACCAAACACATGTGGCTCTATTCAGTTTTGTTGTATAAAAACATAAGCTGAGGTCAAACTTAGGCAAGCTTCAGGTTCGTGAGTGAGCCTGGCATCTGGTTTCTTGAGTTATCTTATACGTTGTGTCTTTACTGTGCGCACAACTACACGCAATAGTATGGTGAATTGTTTTGGTGTATTTTGACTCTTAAAATTCCAAACCAAATAAATTTCGTCCAGAATTCTATCTGCGTGAATCCAGCTTTGTAATACAAATGGTCATCCCCTAGTTATTGGTACAGGAGGAACTGTACGAAGGCCTCTGGCTCATGTTACATAGGCGAGCTGTCTGGTTTTCCAGATGAGCTGCTCTGTCCCTCATAAAGTGGGCATTTGTTGTTTTATCACTGAGATATACTACTACATTTCACATTCAAAGACCAGTGTTTGCTGCTGTGCAAGCTGTGAAGTCCCAAAGCAAAATGGCAAACAATCGCAATATGCTCATTAACGTGATAGCTGTAAAATGAAACAAAATCTACTCCCCTGTGCTTTATGGGAATAAGAGAAAGAGCATGCACAGTGGTTAGGGTTTCTGATTCAGACGTGAAGATGTAGTTTTCAGAGTCTTGCCTGATTCTGAGTTGGAGATTTGAAACTGGTCCACCTTATTTCAGGTAAGTGCCCTTTCTTGCCAGGCCTTTGTGGAGTGAAGAACTTTATGATTTCAGCAATGACCGTTGCCTTGATTAATGCTGCCAAAGGAGTTCTGACTTCTTTGAAAAACTCTTACCCCACCTCTGTTGCAGATAGGGTTGGGAAAGGATGAGAGGCAACGAAGGGAAAAGGTAGTGTTTGAAAGCTGCCTTCTGCTAGTTCTCTGATCTCCAGACAGTTAGGAAGATGATCACAGGAAGGCCACCTACCTCTGGCTTTCTGCTGTGTGCTGGCCTACAAACTTATTCCCTGACTAAAGAGAGGAAAGACAGAGATTCATAGCCTTATTTTTCATAGTTAGTAATTCTATCTCCGACTCTGTGGGATCTTTTTTCCGAAAATGCCATAAATTTAATTCATGTTACGTCATTTTTAATAGTACCTGGCTCTGTTTAAAATACACCTTGGCAACAAATTACATCTTTCTAGCTCACCACAGAATCAATATTTTCATAGTACCATATACATTTATCTTTTCAGATCTAGTATATAATACTTTAATTCTCTTTCAACACATCAAACTGTAAAAAATCATAATGAATCATGACATAATTCTAAAGAGTGCAACTGTGATGTAATAGTATTTACCTCCAGACTTTATGCTTTCCATCTCTTTACCTTATGATTAATATCAAAGCAGAAACGTGGAACAGATCCTGTATTGTTATAAGTAAGAACAGTTCTGACTTCAGTTTAATTTCTAGCATTTGAGGATGCAATCAAATATATGCAACAGCATATTTGCGCAGTGGTACATGAGATAAAGTTGAGGCTAGGGAGGGCTAGTGGATGGACTAGTGGTAGTGTACAAGATGATCTCTGCCAAATGAATGGATCTGTTCATGTCTAGGCTTTTAGTACTTGGTACACTGAGTTCAGCAGAGCAAGTCTATTAAGAACTTGGTCTAGATGTTTTCTTTTCTAATTTCCAGAGGATCCGAGATTTAGAAGATAAAACTGACATCCAAAAGAGACAAATCAAGGACCTGGAGGAAAAGGTTAGTTCTACTATGTTTCTGAAGCAAACTGATCGGTTTTCCTGAGAGTCGTGACCTAATTTTTTTCAACTACTTACCTTCTTTGTTTAGCTGAATCAGTTGGACCCTGTTAGTGTCTTTCTACTGTGCTTTCTTTTCAATTTGTGACTTCCGTTATATCCAGACTTTAATCTTAGAGTCCCCTCCACAACAATCTATGTTTCATTTTAGGGAATAAATAATTACATGATTAACACTTTTAATTACAATGGATGATATTGGACTAAATGATGAAGCCTTTATTTGGTTGTTACATGCTGTCTTGGTAGACAATACTTCCATTAAAGCCAAGGCGAGGCTAGCAAGCAGGAAGGACAGAATGAAACTGAGTGAAGATTTGAAGGCTGCCCTTACTTGGCAGGACTAAGGAACTCAGGTTGTGATGCTGTCCTCTTTATTGAAGCTTGCAATTTTGCATTGACTATGCATTTGGAGTACAGTACAAAATTTTGTCTATAAATGGAAGTATCCAAGAACTATATACATATATTCTTATATATATTATGTATGTATGCGTATATATATTTTTGTACTTTTGCAGAGCTGGGCTATATTTTTTTTGTGAGTAAGGCCTGCTCTATCATATAAAGTTTTTATAATTTTAGGTAGGTTAGGTAGCACTGCTGGAAAAAAAAAATCACAGCATGGATCCAAAATAAAACCTTAGCATCCTTTCTAGAAATACCAGACTTCCACTGCTGGTATAAGATATATCTCCAGGGAGCACTTTGCCAATATAGTTATATGCGTAGATATCTACATATATATATAATATGAAATACTGGCTATGTTAATACAATGACAGTAATGCCAATGAGTCCTTTGAGTTAGTATATATGTTCCTACAGTGCAACATGTGGGCTTAATCTAAAACTTGATACACATCTTCCTTTCCGCTTTTCTGCCAAAATTCTAGTGATGCTAGGACTTAAGTGTCTTTCTAATACATATAACTTGGAAATACATGAGATCATAATGCGTGATGAAAATCAGAAACAAATTAAAACTAGTGCCATAATAACAAATATGAGACCTTTTTTGGTCAATTTTCAAAAGAGCTTTCAACTGACAAAAATTCACATCCCAGAAGAAGATGCATTCATGATTGAAATGAAGCCTCCAAAAATTGATTATTCAGTATTTAATGGTTAGAGTTTGACATTATGCATTATTCCCAGGCTATTGCCAGCATGGTTTGAAGGCAGTGTTTTTGAATCCACCTAAAAACTGACCCGTGCTATGTTTGACATCCAGCTTTGTGATTTTGAGCCACCAATCGTGGGTCACAATGACAAATATACCTCAGGCTTTCAAAATGGTGCTGATTGAAATTAATCACCAAAATTAATGTACAAATGGGATCTGTTTGTTTTCTAAGCCTGGGAGATGGTTTGGCACTTACGGAAGCAGCTAGGGAAATAGAGTGTTCTCTGAATACATAATTATTTTAATTGTCCTGCAGAGTACAAAAAGAACTAATCCTGACACTTACAACACCATGACATCTTGTTTTTACACTGTCTTCTTTTTCTTCTGCAGTTTCTATTTCTATTCTTGTTCTTCTCTCTTGCCTTTATTCTTTGGCCTTGATGTCAATGTGCCTCTTGGAAAGGTAAGACTACTTTGTTTATTTCCTCGAGGCTAGTGCTTCTTGCACAGACCTGAGGATCAGATCCTTGTGTGTTATGTTATGTATATCTGGAGAATTCAGCTGATCAGTGTCATTTTGCAGTAGTTCACAATGGAGGGAGGTCACTGTTGAGCTCACACAGCAGTTACAACCAGACCAATGCTGTCCAGCATACCTGTCAGTGAATTGACAAAGTTTTCTGATGATCCTAAGCTGTTCAGAACTGTAAAAATAAAAGCTAACTAGAATTTCCCAGTATCAAGCAGTCAAGAGAATTGCAGATGAAATTCAGTATTGATGTTTGCAAAGTGATACAACTGGGAAAAAGTTTCAAATCTCAACTTTGTACACCTCACAATGGGCTCTGAACTGACCGCTACCACTCAGATCAGGAGGTTATAATAGATAAAGCTATAAAAACAGCAGGGTAGTGCCCAGAACTAGGAAAGGTACAAAGAAGGGCAAGGAAAGGTGATGAGCTGCTGAGGGAGAGAGGGAGAGGGAGAGGGAGAGGGAGACTAATTGGGCTCAGAAAGAGGAACATTATTAAAGGGAGGTGTGAGAGAGAGAGAGAAAATTCATCAGTGGAATAGAATGGCTGAACAGATTGCTATTGTTCACTATCTCCTCCAGTACAAGCGATTATCATGTAATAACTTTGAAACAACAAAAAGTGGTAGTTAATGATGTAGTATATGAAGAAATCTTGGCTACAGCATGCTTAGTGGCTGGAAGTTCAGAGTTTTAGAAAGCAATGGGAAGGTGGGGAAATAAATCGGGCAACTATGATGTGCTTTGCCTTATGTTTTTCCCTCCATGCCTGGCCACTTTCAGAGCCAGGACGCTCAGCTAAGTGGATCTTTTATCTGATCCACTATAAATGAGGTAGACCATGTTCTTGAGTCTAAATACAACATTATTCAGGCAGAGCAGAATTTTCTGATTAGGGTACAGACCCATAGCATTAAATTTCTCACCATAACTCTTGGTTCTGGTTTGGGCTATGTCAATAAATAAGCTTCTCTGCCCTGCACTTGGGACAAGCTGAGAACAAAGCTCTGTGTGTGAAGATGTTTTACCATGCCCTTCCACCATTTTTATTAGCTTAGCACTTGTTTCCAGACGCAATTCAAGATATTGGTCATAACTAAGTGTCATTGGTCCTTTTTTTTTTTTTAATTAAAAAAAGAAAAAAGGAAAAGCCCCCTACTTTGTGCTTCGTTTCAGCTAGATTGAGGCTTTTTTTCCTACAGTTTTGTGTTGATGGAGAGACAGCTTTTAATTAGCTATGGCAACTGGAATCCACTGCTTCCCAGGCTGGACAGACCTATAAATGAATGTTTTCATGGGCTTAGCCAGCAGTATATACAGGGGTTGGGCTGAACAGGGAATGAGCCAAAGGAAAGAAGGGGTGGTGGGGTTGACAGATCAGTGATCATGGCTCTTGTAAACAATTGCCAATCTCATAATAGAGTTGCCACTATTTAAAACATACCACCTTGATCTAATGAATGTTATTTTAAAGAGGTTGAGTCATGACTGCACACTGAGTAATAAAGTTTCTGAAGTAGGATTTCTGGGAATGATGACACAGCACAGCAGTTGGGAGTTATTTTGAGTAGCCATAACTAGTGAAAATTTGATTTTTACAGTTTTCTGCTCACTCATAGTGGAAAAAAGATTGGAAGGTTTTCTGAAACAGACAAATTAGGTATAGGCTAATTTTCAAAGTACAATGTATGATCTGATAGTGACATTTCCTAGAACCTGTCTCTGTTAGTTCTTCCCGTTTGCTTATAGTGTTGTCCTTTTTCTGATGGTGCAGTTTCAGAATTTTTAGGAGCTCATACACCCTAGTTTTGCCAGTGCTAATATTGGCTATGGTGGAAGAAATAATAAGAAACCCAAAAATCTTGACCTCAGTTCTTTGAAAAGGTACCTTGTAAGAAATCCCTTGCTCAGTTTAGGTCCCTTGATTAAAATGCATTCATGACATTAAACTACTGAACAATCTTTCCTAATCCCATCTCTTTTAAGATAGAGCCCAGCAGAGTCCTTGCAGGTAGAGCATGCAAGTTGGGAGTGTGCAAATTACAATTTTCATCAACGCTAGAATTCATCAGGAAATGCTGCCTTTCTGATGTTTTGTTGTTTTTTTAGTTTTGAAAAAAATATTTTTTCAAAAGTTAAAAAAGACCAAAAAAAACCCAAACCTCAGCGTATGGCAGATGCAAATGCCAAAAAGATCCAAAAATATAGATAAAAATAATTTGTGTTAATAAATATGATATTTTCATTAGAAAGTGAAAAGATAGTTTGCATGAAAACTTTCATCCACCTGTAATTGGACCTAAAACAGGGAAAACCCTAGTTCCAGGGCAAAATGGTCAGTGTATACTTCATGAGACTGTATGCATGTTTTTGGTATGCCAATGAGGAAGAGAAAGGAAGGGAAGCTAGAAGTTACAGACATAACATAGATGAATCACTTGGGCTGGTTTTTCAGGAATTGCAGGGATATACTAGTATCTTTTGAAATAAGTACTTCTGAAAATAGAGAAATCTCTACCATTTTGAGATAAGAATTCCAGTACTGCTGCTTAATTCTGTCTTGGAGCCTGTGAAAATATCTAAAGTGCCATAAAGCTGCCCTAAGTGTCTGCATGCCAAGAAAAAGTCTTCAACGGGTATTTGTGTGCATCAGTTCCACAGTGATTTTCAGATTGGTGTCTTAACAGCTTTGTAATTATTTTAGCAATGTATTCAAAGGCAGACTGAATCCCGTCTTGCAGAGGAGCCATCCTTTATCTCTGTTCAAAAGCAAGAGGGGGGAAAAGCAGACATATGCAAGGAGAAAAATCAAGAACATTAAAAAAAAAATACAACACAACCTCCACATTTGCTGATTTCATTTATGCCTTTTTAGCCTATTTCGAAGGCAGGTATTGTCTGGTCAGAGAAAGCTGATGAGGGGTTTATGTCAGATCTCTACGTTCCTCCTATACATCAAGCAGATGATTATTATTTGCATGCAGTGATTTTTCCACCTGCAAGTAGCTGCTGGGTCACATCTCTAGCACAAGCTTTCTGCTCATTTGATGCATTGGGTTGACTCCTTGTTTGTGCATTCATTCAACAGGACTAATAGTCAAAGGAAACTAAATCATTTTTCTGCCCCCCTCTAGGACTGGCTGGACTATAATAGCCCCAGTGGAAACAGAGCAACACTGAGGCTGATTTCATTGCTGAGGTCATTAGCACTATGCCACTGAGACATGACTTCACTCATCCCTCTCCACACACACCTCCTTCACCAAATTTTCTGCTTGTTTTAAACAATACCTGAGATTTGCGTGTGTAAATCCCTTTGGTGCAACTTCACTGAGACCAGGAAAGCTGCTCTGCCTACAGCACCAGCATGAGAAGAATGTCACTCACTGGATTTACTGTTGCTCTGCAGAGGTTGGCCCAGGAAGGTCTAGTTCACAAGACCCTTGCCTCTCTACTCCCACAGAGAGGAAGAGAAGCGTCAGAGAGAAGTGAAGTGTAGTTTACAGGCCTGGAGAGCCTGCAGATGTGTTCTGCCATTTCTAGCATCACCCAGCAGATGAATGAAGCTCCTTTCATCATTTAAGGGCTCATTCTTTTGCTGTTTTCACACTCTGCTTGCATATTTTGCTATGAACGTCAGATAGGGAACAAGAAGACGGATTCCTATAAGCTGAAAGGCAGAGGAAATAGCCAGGCCAGTAGTGCAGATGTAGTGATGTGGAGAACGGGAAGTCGACTATGAGAATGGAAAAACCTTAAAGGGGAGTATGAACTCAGTGCTTTTCACAGCAACGCAGGTCCTCTGGAACTCACTTGCTCTGTTAACGTAGCTGCAGCAGACACAGCATCACAGCAAGCCTCCTATCTGCAGAATGTTTTACCAAGGCACGTCACTCTACAAGTGCAAAGCACCAAATCTTGTAACCTGTCTATCAGTTCCTCAAAAGCAATACGATAATACAGGCAGTCGTTAGCTGTTCTTCCTCTGTCTGGTCCCAGTCTTCACTCACTCAGTTTTGCTTCATGAGAACCTTACCTCGCAAGACCTGAGGGGAAGGCTCAAGACAGAAGCAGGTTCGGAATGGCAATTGGCAAGATTGAGAGAAATTTTAGGAAAGTCATATTTTTCTGAGGCTGGAACACACAGAATCAGAGAGAGTAACTAACCAACGTTGTTTTATGTTTCCCAATCACTTTAAAATCCACCTGCATACCTATGTGACTTTGACATTTGAAGTAACACAGCAAGGGTGAGCATGGCAGGGGGAGTGTGCCATCAACATTTCTGCTTCTTAGAACTACTGACAGTGCATAGGATCGGGGGGAATGTTAAAAAATTGCTTTAATTCCTCTGGACACCAGTTTACTTTGCTAGCCTTATCATGAGAGACTTCAAATAGTTCCCTTGATATAAACAAGAACACCACAGTGCATGCTTGAAATGCACCTAGGGAACCATTTGATGACAAAAAGTGTTTATTTTTGTTCATCCCTTGCTGCAGTTCATGCTTTCTCAACCTTTTATTTAGCTGAGGACAAGCCATGATGCAATCACAGATGATGCTTTCTGGCTTCTTTCTCTCACAGGTTTGGTACAGCACTCACTGCTGTATTTTTCAGATAAGGAAGGACAAGCATTTGAAACACAGAAAGAGTGGGTGAATGAAACCATGTGCAAAAAAATTTAGCATCCATACCAGAACTCTCTATTTATATGTGATTTTCCTCTCCGAGGGTTTTTTTCTGTACTTGTGTGTATCCATGTTCATGTAAACACTTATTTATGATCACACAGGGAAATCTGATTTGTATGGATTTTGCACTCAGTAAAATTTATCATGTAGACTTGAGCAGTGAGAGAGCAGAGAAAAGATATACCTTTTTTTTTTTTTTCCGGGTTTCAAACCCAAAAACCTAAAATTCTTTTCTGTATGCAGGAAGGGCTTCCTCCGAAGGGAACCAGTCTGCGCTTGCCTCATTGTTGGCGTTGATGAAAGTTCTGGGGTTGAAACTGCGAGCACGTCACCTGCTGTCGTGTCTCCTGTCACGGCTGAATTTTAGGCAGCTTCTTGAAACTGACAGTTTTCCATGGGCCAGGGTATAAATATTCATCTGAAAATACCTGTGGAAATTTTTATGGACCAGAGGGATATATCTTGCAGTGTTCAAATGGAGAGGCCTGGCTCGTGCTTAAATTCATAACTAAGTCCTTGCCAAAATACCCAGAATTTTCACAAATGCCTTTCACACAGACAAACAGGAACAGTCTGTCCAGTTAGCTGATATTTATAAGAACAGATCTCTTCAGTTGTCTCATTAATAGACTCCATCCTCTCAGATAGATAGGCAGGTAGAGGAACTTACCAATTATCTGATATAGATGTTGTTGTTCTTTTTATTTTTAGAGTGCCAGACCACACAGATAAGTCCTTAGAAAGGCAAATGCTTCCAACTCCCCCCCGATGAAGAGAACGTTGTTTACACTTATTTAAAAAAACCACAAATGAACAACCTGTAGCCAAGACTGCAACCACCTTATATTTTAAAGCCATCACTCAAGATTTGTTACTTGACAGTTCCTATCTAAAGCTATGATATATGCTGCATTTAATGAAATTCTACATGTCAAAATTAAAAAATGGGGAAGAAAAATAAATGGTGAACGTACATCACTTAGGAAAAACTTAAAGGGAATCAGCGAGGAACCACTTTCAGCTGATCAAGTCAAAGTGTGTCTTGGGCATGGAACCAAAGTTACCACAGAAAATCTATCCCTGCCATGCAGGGCGGTCATTTTAAATGTCACGCTGTCCTCCCATGGACGGATCAAAATAGCAGGACAGAGCAGGAGAAACACTTTACAAACTGTGAGGAGGTACCGACAGTAAAACATTCAGTTTCAATAGTCTGGCTTTCTTGCTACAGGGACGCTTCCTCTCTTTTGGCCTTACGCTCAGGAACAATGACAGCTGCAATGTGGGGGGAAAAAAGGAAAAAAAAAAAAAAATCTGGTTTATGGCACGATGGCAGGACCGGGCACCATGTTTTGCATTTGAGATCATACCGGAGCACCACTCCACGCGGCAAAGGAAGGGAAGAAGCAGGTGTCTGGCTTAAGGAGGATTTCTGACAGAGCTGTAGCCTTATCTCTCTTCACACTCCCTCCGTGAAGACCAGCCCGTCCATTGTCAGATACTTTTCATACTCTTTAAAAACTGCTGCAGAGATAGCAACGACCATACTTGGTTTCACCATTTGAATAATATACTGTGGATCACTGGACTGGGCCTACCGAGTGGCTTCTGGGAAGGAAAAAAACGTGTTGGAGGGCAAGAGAAAAAATACCTAACCTCAGTGCCCGTATGATCTGATCCACAAAGCATCAGCTTCCAAATATTTTGTCTCAACCTGGATGCTACTGAACAGAGGAACCCTTACAAGCATTTTGGTTTGGCTTGTCAAACTGATTTTGTTAGCTGGCTTACTAACCAATGACACATAAACCAAAAATGGGGGAAAACTGTGCGAAATTCATCCTCGTTAGAAGTGTGAATATGTACCACTACTCTGTTTAGATTTTTCCACCATTAAGAGTAACTAGAAGGAGTTTGCATTTCCAAGCATTGCTCACCTCTCTGGCCTGGGACTCGGTCTGATGCAAGGAAGCAGAGCACCATCACAGCTGCAGCCTTATTAGAATCAATAAGAAACAAACCTTGAGGATTGTCAACACCTGCAACAAATATTGAGAAAAGAAGTTCCTACATCTGCTGGGAGCAAACCAGCTGCATTCAGCTTCCCTTATCAATGTGCTGTATGAGCTAGGCAAGATACTGTACTCAACTGTGTCTCTGTTTTCATTTCCCTGCAAATGGAGTCTTGTCTGTTTAAACTTCAGGTTCCTGTAGCAAGGTTCATTGTTGAGCTGTGTCTTGCACAATGGAGGTCTTAATTTTATCTGGGATTAAAATGGAATTTGTTAGAAAAGAGAAAACTAAGGGCCAGAATACAGCCTGCGCATTACTTAAACCTTCAGAACAGGGCTCACGTGTACCAGCAGCTTATGCACACAGACCTTCATATCAGAAGCTTTAAGAGCGCTTTACAGACATAGTCTCTTTTGTTTGCTTTTTTATTTTTACAGATGAAGCAACTGAGACACAAAGCAGCGAAGTAACTTGCCACAATGGCTCAGCAGGTCAAAGGCAGTTCCTGGACCATAGCAGGGATGAAGTTCATCTAGTATAGAGGGTGCCTGTCCCTCACAGATATTTTTTGGTCAGAATATCTTTTAATCGTTAGTGTCCAGTCACCCAAGTGGATTGCAATGCTGGGCTCCGTTTCGCCACAGAGACCCCCGACATCCTCATTTCTTGCATGCCAGGAGGTTGTGCTGAGCCTTGCATCGAAGTTTAGAAGCTATTAGCAAATGATTTTTTTCTCTCCTTAAAATTAATTTAAATTACAAAATGACTGCAACTTCTAGAAGCAGTCTGTTTTAGCCGAGGGGTTTATGCCTTCTGCACCAGCTGTAGGTTATGTTAAATGAATTCAGGTCCATTGCATGCTCTTTGTTCAAATTCTGTCTCCCCACTCTGTGCACAAGGCTGGGCCAGACCTACCACAGGTGCTCTGCGAGGGTGCTGCTAGCAGTTCAGCCCTGAAGCTTTGGAGTCAGGCCCTTTGAGAGTCTCCCCACACACCTGTGACGTGTTCAGATCACTAAGCAGCTTATGCATAAAAGAAATACCTGTTTCAGGCAATCATAGAGAAGGTTCATGGCATAGATAAAAATGTCTAATTTCATGACACACCTGACTAGTTTTGTGGCTGGCTTCATCAGTTAGGCCCTCTGAACCGTGCTGTGCACATCTTCCTCTCGTTTCTCTTTTTTGCCCTGTTTCCCCTTCTTTATTCTTATATATACATAGTCCTACCTATGCATGCAGGTGCTCCGTTTCCAAAGGCTCCAGAGCTGGCAGACAATTCACAGCTTACCTTGGTGTGACTTGTAAAGGGTCTGCAGACTTTTAAAGATTGCTGGATTTCCTCTGGAGGTCTGAACGACAGCTGCTTTACTCTCCTTGCAGCATAACACAAGCCATGCCTAAAACACACTTGCTGATGTGATTAATACAAACTTTCTACTGTCAGCTAGATCAAAATGAGTTCGATGTTTGTGGGTGTATATATATATATACACATATATACATATATATATATCCCTATTGTATATAGTAAATCACTGCTATAGCATATGAAAGTGTACTTCCAATCTAGGCATGAGGAACTGAACCTAGAATTGCTTAGCTGCCCCAACTGGTACACTCCTCATTAGTTTAGTTTTACATCTTATGGGCAACTAGATTTTGGTTCTGGTTTTTGGAGTTCTGTTTTTAGCTGTTCCCTGTCTGGAAGCTGTTTATCCAGGGCTTTCTGTTGTTCCTGACATTCAGTGACGCAAAGTATTGAGACTCCTCCCTCAAATTAGTCACTGCAGCCAACCTCCCCTCCTTGAAACCAACCAGCAAAAAAGATCAATTTATCCTAGCTTTTGAGGACTGCAGCGTAGCCCTGGGTTCCTCCACTCCCTCTGCCCTAGCCTGCAGCAGGAGCACCGCGCTCCAGGCTGCTGACACCATCAAAGCAGTAGATGAGGCACATACATGTGGCAAGTTGGCTTGAACAAAATTTGACTTGCCATTTTTTTCTCCACTGATCGAGTCAGGAGACTTTACCAGTGGGTCAGACCTTCTAATTTAAGCACTTCAGATGAAGGTCTAGTTAGGGGAGATGAATTCAGGCAATAGGGTTAGCAAAAGGAAAAAAAAGGCCTTCTGGCAGTATTATAAGGCTGGCTCACAGCCCCATCTGCTCTTATTGACATGCCATGGGGACGCAGCACTTAGGTTTTTCTTTTTTTTTTTTGTACGTGTGCTGCATTTCCAGCGCCCTGCCCTAACCTCAGTGGGGAAGATCCTCTGAACCCCCAGAGCGGGCCGTTCGGCGGCATCTCCTGAGGACGGACGAGGCCAGGCTTTCCTGCTTGCTGGGGCAGCTTCAAATACAGCCACACACTTGCTGGTGACTCAAAGGCTTCCTCCCCCCTCCCGTCTTTCCTCACATCAGCACCTGTGTGTTTTTTATTTATATATACATATATATATGTATATGTGTGTGTGTGTGTGTGTAAATATACATGCATACATGCATATTTTTTTGTTGTTGTTGTTGTTCCCAAATTTTTTGGTGTGTATTCCAAAAAAGAATTGTAAAGATTTGGCAGAATGACCCTTTGATAAACACTGGACATGTATCTGTACTATATGTATTAACGTGTAGAAGAGAATCCTTATTGTATGTAAAGTTTTATGAATGGTTATTTTTTAATTTATGTATTTAATATAGGATTCAATGACCTCTGGTGTTTTAGTTTGTATAAAAAAATAAAACAGCAACCTTTTTAAAAAAAACAAAAATCTCACTTTACATTCACGGAGATACTCAGCGTCTGTCTGGAATCTGTTTATGGGTGCCATCTTGAGGCTGAGCAACTCAGACCGTTAAGGCACATCTTCCTTGTTCGCTCTCTCCCTCTGACATGCTTTCATGGAGGGGAAGACTGGAGAGGCTGGGCCATAATATAACATATTCTGGGTCATAATTCTGTAAAAAAAAGTTTTTGCATCAGTCTGTCCTTCAGTGGGCATCCTGAGGTAATTAGTTGGTAAGGGAAAGGCAGTTCAATTTTCCCAGCATGGGCCCAAATCTGAATTTATTGGCTTTTTGATAGGCCTGCCCAGCAAATACAAGCAAAGAAAACAAACCAAAAAAAATCCCTTCTTCTTTTCCCAGGTGTTGGGGGAGGGTTTGTGTTTATTGGGGGGGGGCCCTTATTAAGCTGTAGACTCTTGCTCCAATTTTTGAAAAAAAGGGCCTCATAATCTCTTTACTCACTGTGCTCAGTCACCCAACGCTCTCCAGCGCTGGTGCTTGCCTCTAGGCCCCTCTGCCTGCGTGGACGAGGGCCAGCTCCATTAACGCTGCTGAGACGCTGCACAAGCACAGCCTGATAGCCTGCACACAAACCTCATGTGTTCAACAGCAGGGCCTGCTATATGAATAAAGCAGGTAAAAGCCATAGTGCAACTATCCCCTCCAGCACTTGAGCCCAGCACACTTCACTGCCAGGAGCCGCGGGCTGGGCAGGTGAGGAGCCCGGGGTCCCGGTGCTCTGGCTCCTCGGGGAGCCCCAGCGTCCCTCTCCCGAGGGTCTCGGGTGCCCTCGCCTGAGCCCCCCGCTGGAGCCCTCCAGCTCACCCGAACCTGGGAAGCCGCGACACTTCACGGTTTTTGCTGCCTCTGGATTCATGCCGCCTCGGGAGAGCCAGGAGGCAGCTTGCTTAGGGCAGCGGAGCAGCCTGCTGCGCTTGTGGCAACTGCATGGTTGCGCCTGCTGGTGGCACATCTGCAAGGCAGCATTGCTCTATTAGATGTGTTTTTAATCCAAAAAATAAAACATTTTGTTTTGACATATAATTTCTGTCTGCAGTGTCTTCAGAAACATTCGTACAAGCAATCATTCATCAGAATTATGCCTGTTTTAAGTGGATGTTTTCTTCTGGTAATGTCATTTCTCCCCCCTTAATGGATGAACATACATCTTGCACTCAGAGTTGAACACTCCCAACTCAGGTGTTTCTATTCTACTATGAATATCTCTTGCAAAAATGTCTATTTTTGCAACACCTCAGCCGTTAAAATCAAAAGAAAGAAATTGATGAGGAAATAAATGCAAGGTGGCACAAATAGAGCTGAAAAGCAAGTTTCCATAAAATTTAAGCAAACTATTTTAGAAGAATGTTTCATAGTAACTAATCAAATTCAAAAAATACACTACCTAAACCAGTAATAGCAGTGATGAAAAACAGAAATGTCTGGGGTTTTTGCCAGACTTCACCATCCTTAGGTACCGATAATATTTTCCATTGTAATTCCCAAGCGCGAAACGTATTTTCTTTGCAGGTAATGCTCCTTGAAAGCCTTTAGACACCTTCCTCCTAGGCAAATCTATGCAAGATCTCCAGGTTAAAATGAACTTTAGAGCTGGTCATATTGATCAGAGTGTGACTTGTATATTAGAGAACAAAGTTATTGTTAGGGACTGTATCACAAGCAGAGGAGAAGAAGAGCTACCCAACTGGCTAAACAGAGCTCTTGAGAATACGAACTAGGTCTGTCAGGCAAAAAAGAGAATGAGTCTGAAATTCATGCTTTTTTTTCTTGCTTCGCGGAGTATTACTCAAAAGTACCAAATACGCCAGGAAAACAAAAAAAACCTTCTGCTTAAAATATATATTGAATCATTTTCTACCGTTATCTACCAAATTAATGCAAACTTACCTTCTTTGGGAGATATAAGAACAACAGACCAGAACACTAAATTGACCTCCATTACTTTTAACCCTTAGACCCTTGAGATCTCCCAGAGTGCCCATTTGGGAAATATGGCTTATGATTTTTCATGAGTATTTACCACCAGAGGAAATTGAGCAACTGTGGTTGCTGAACTCTTTTATGAGCATTTGAAGCATTACCTTATATCTTTGCATCTATCCAAGCATTCAGGAGAAGCAGGAAATGTCTCCTCCACCCTTTCCAAGGGATGCTGGGGCAAAGTCCTTTTGCCTTCTTTGGAACAAAGCTTTGCTATAATTAAGCCCTGATCTGCAAAGTCAGACAAGACAACTCAGAAAGAGAAAAAAGCCTTTCCCAGACAGTTTTATTCTCCAGCTTTCACAGCAGGAACATGGAGAATAAGAGAAGCGGTCAAAGCTCAAGCTAGAGGAAGTGCTGTGAACTCAGCAGCTACGGCAGTCCACACCAGGGCCCCATCTAGCACCAGTCATCTCCTACCTCTTTCCTACTTCTACAGCATCCCTGGTCCAAACCATCAGCTTTTTGCTGTTTCCTTCTGAGCTGCAGGGACTTTGACTCACTGCTTAAGCCTTTTTCCACCTGACTAGAGGTTTCCGTTGTAAGAAATGCAAGGTCTCACAGCAGGTCTGCAGGTGGCCACACAGCAGTACTGGCACCTCGCTGCTCTCCGGAAGAAGCCTAAAGCCGCACAAGGTATCAAAGGACAGCTTCCTCCTTCCACGGATTTGGCTATTTAAATAAAACATCTGTCAGACAGGAGACCCTCACTAGCCAGGATGTTCTTGCTAAGACAACTGTTCTCTGAAACACTGCCTTTTGCCAGAGCTGATGCCCCAGCACCTGCTCAGAAGAGCTAAACTGCGGCAGTGAAGACATCCTGCAGCCAGCTGGGGTGCCGCCTTGCCAGCGCGCGCTGTGGGAGCCGGACGTCGTCGAGGGAAGTTTGCTGATACCACCCTCACGCTGGTGGGGTTTCACACCTCCCCTTGCTCCGGAGAGCAGACAGGGCTCGTCCCACTTCGGCTGAGGTTTTTGCTTTGCTGAGAAGAATCTTGCTGCTCTGAACTGGGGCAGAGCAAACAACAGTGCTGCTATTGCGTTTGTTGTCAGAGAGACAAAATATTATTCAGCTCTTCTTGGGAAGCCAGTAATCCCAGCAGCGAAAGAGAACGCAACCTTGGAAGCTGTGCACCCTACAAAAAAGACCTTATGGAAGGAACTTGCCAAGGAAAGTCTTAGAGGGGAAATGGAAAGCACATTTTGAAAGTACAAAGTGTTGGTCATGTATTTACACCCATCCCATCTCTTTACACTCAAATCCCCAACAAATCTAAGCTACAAAAGAATGTTTTCTTGCAACAGACTAGCCCGATACATTAATGTCTTGTTTATTTTAAATAACAATATCTTCCCTATGATCCACTGCAACTTATGTCTTTAAAGTGTTGTTAAGACATTAAAACATATTAAATGGGTCCAAGACACAAAAACTGTTATCGAGATTTATATCTCTACTAGTGTAGAGGTCAAAAATTTGTATCCAGCCCCCTTACATAAATATCTTCAAATAATGAATGAAGCAAAGAACTTGAGCCAGACGTTCTCCTTTTCTTTGGTTATAACCACCTGAAGGGCATTCAGTATTAAAATGCACTGATTTGGAATTAAATCACAGGGAATTACGCATATAAATCCATTGCAGGACTTGTGGAACAAGCTCGGCTTGCTTTGCGTAGCAAAACCAGTGTCGTGAGGGCACAGAACAGGGCTGTTAGCATCTGTGTATTGTGCAGTATGAATAGATATATCGAGGTAGATAAACACTACTGAGAGAGAGGGACTTCTTTTGGCTAAAGGACAAAGCTGGCAGAAGACAGCGTGGATGTGAACCAGCTTGGTCTGTTAGAAGTCAGAGGCCGTTTCGCAGCTGGCCGCCTGCTGCCCCCTCTCCAGCCGGAGCAGCGCGA